AAGGCTTTGGACAAGTGAAGAAAAACTGGCGCAGTACTGCTTATTATCAAGGCTACTGTAAATGTGATTCAGAGAGTCTAATGCAGCAGATGTGGTGCTGTATTTTTTTTCGGAACCCAGATTGGTTTCAATGTAATAGATTGTTGTCGCACAGGAAACTACTAATTTGGTAGTTCAATAATTTGTCAAAAAATTTCATCAACGGGGACAAAATTGAGATAGGTCAGTAGTTATTTGTATCCTCTTTAGGGCCCTCTTCGTGAAGTGAACGAACATAGGAATCTACATCATTAGACCTCCTTCGCCAGTACCAAAATATAATAATAGGGTTTTTCCCCATTTTTCTGGCAACAAAACTTAAACCTTTTTACGAGGATTCATGTCTGCATTAACCACAATACTTGCAGTCAAAATGCAAGCAAAAAACACACTATTGTCCTTGAAACCGTCCCTTGGTGTGGACCAATCAGTTTCAAGGACAATGCATATTTTATCATAGTGTGTTTTTTGTTTGCATTTTGACTGCAAGTATTGTGGTTAATGCAGACATGAATTCTTGTTAAAAGGTTTCAGTTTTGTTGCCAGAAAAAAGGGGAAACCCCCTATTATTATAGAACATAGGAATGTTTCCACTCTAGAGGTATTGATGCTTCTGTAATAAGAGCCTATGTCAGATTCACGTGGTGATCGGCTTTGCCGGTCCCGCTTTACAGCCAATGGGGGGAGAGCCTGGGAGCATGGCCCCGGCGTGATCACGGGATGTCAGCTAGGTGATTGGTTTCGTTGGTCTTGGCCTCAGCCAATGGGAAGACAAGTCGGGGGCGTGATCCCGGGAGTTGATGGGGGATCTGGAATTTTCGGCGCAGGCTATTGAGGATTGGCTGGAGTGTACCACGTGACCCAGGCATTAAATAAGGGGAGAGAGGAGAGACACGGGGTCAGACACGGAACTAAGAGAGGGAGAGGCCACGCGCGAGTGGGGCTCCGGGTGCCACGTGGTGGTGGGTTTCTGGTGACTGTCTGCCCGCTTCCCGTTGCCTGCCAGCAACGGGGAGTGTTTGTGAACTGCAAAGGAAGTGAAATAAAAGGACCAATTCTATAAGCCGTCTCCAGCGTGTTATTACACTTCTTTGATGGACAGGTTGAAAATATGGGCTATAGGTTTGTATATTAGGTGACCAACAGTTAGCAGAGCAAAGACGGGAATACTATCCGCTCTGGTAGGGGAGGACCCTTTGAGGTAGGGCAGTTGTTTCAGAACATTACTTTTGTGGATAGGCTGGAAACTAAATTCGTTTAATGTTTGAACAGGGGTGTAGGAAATTGCATGAGCAGGGGTGACTCCCAATACATTATCAAAAGGTCACCAGCTTCAGAAAAATGAAGGTTAAAATTGTCGACTATTTTTTGGGGCTCTGAAAAATAGTCCCCATTTCAGTTAAGCGCAACGGGCAGATTATCTGTGTTGGATGCCTTTTCGATACATTTCATTATTTTCCAGAAGATCCTGGCATTGCCATGTGATTCCAGGAGAGTGGAGGAAAAGTAAGCATTTTTTGCATGCCATATTTTATTGACGCATTTATTCCTTAAAATCCTGTATTCTAGCCAGTCATTGACCAAATTTTTTTTCTGAGCACATGCCCAAGCCTTGTCCCTAGTTTTCATGAGCTTAGTAATAAAAGGATCAAACCATGGTGGGCGGTTGCCTTTAATTTTAAATCTAACCAACGGAGCATGTTTGTTAAGAATTTGTAGAAACGTGTACCTGAAGGTCTCCCAAGCCGTAGTCAGGTTGGGGATATCACAGACCTTGTCAATATCCGAGTGAAGCACATCATTAGTAAATGCATGCATGCTGAAGTGTCTCATGGAGTGCTTCTCAACCAATTTAGGGGGGACTTTGGGTCTGGCTGATGATCTCACCCCAAATATGAAGGAGTGATCACTAAGGTTATTACCCAGAACACCAGTCAGTGTGAAATTGTGAGGGGCATTTGTCAATAGGACGTCAAGCAGAGATGACTGTCCCAGATTTTTTAGGTTAGGTCTTGTGGGGACATTAATTAATTGAAATAGGTTAAATTAATCTGCAAAATTTGTGGCCACAGCCGGCGGGTTTAGCCAATTCCAATTCAGATCACCCACTAAAACTATTTCACCTTTAGGGAGGCCCCCAAGAAGCTCTCTCAGTGCAGACACAGCTTCAACATCCTTACCACTAGGTGGTCTATAGCAGCACACTACCAATATCTGTTGATTATTTGGGAGAATTATTCTGAGAGCCAGACCTTCAAAGACATTTTTTTTAACAAGGAGTGAGCTGGTGAACATGCAATAGTATTACGAACATAGATGGCAATTCCACCTCCTTTAGACCCTCGGTCAAGCCGAAAAAGGTTGTAGTTGTCAATCGTAGTCTGCAAGTCATTTACGGCAGGAGTGAGAAATTTTTCTGTAAGGCAAAACATGTTCAGGTCCAGATTTGCCACTTCTAGTTTTAGTTGACTTAATTTAATCACAAGCCCTCTGATGTTGACATGTAGCATACCAACACCTTTTCTGCCAGAAAAATCTACAGAATTATACGAGTTCTTTGCATTTGGGCCAGGATGAAGCTCAATACCTCCCAGAAATAAGAAAACTAGAACTAAGTTTGCACAGGTATTTTCTGTGAAAGGATGAAGAGCGGCGAACCTTGGACGAATAGCAGCAACTCACAGATGGCGATATTTTAAAGAGCAGAATGAATTTCGATTTAAAGCTTTCGTGATTGCAGGGATTCATCTTCTTGGTTCTTTTGGTAAAGTCACGTAGAAGGAAAATAATAAAATAATAAAAATAAAACATAATAAAATAATGATCACGACGTTTCGGCCACAACGCAAGCAGCCGTCCTCAGACGCTGTCTTTCCGACAGACCTGTTCTTCACCTGAGGACGGCTGCTTGTGTTGTGGCCGAAACGTCATGAGAATTATTTTATTATGTTTTATTTTTATTATTTTATTATTTCCCTTCTACGTGACTTTACCGAAAAAACCAAGAAGAAGAGCAGAATAAAGTTTGGAAGGAGTGCTGGTGAAGTAATGGGACAGAGATAGGGGTTAAAAGGATACAATTGCAGTAGAGTTAACTACTCGATGTTCACAAACTGGGAGAGCAAATCGTTAACAAGGTTTTCCCGCTCAAACTAACGGTCAGGGTCTCACAAGCTGTGAGAGCTGACTGTAAACAAGGTTTTCCCGCGCGACCAAATGGTCAGGGTCAGATAGGTTGAATTGGGATCCAAAAGCAGATTGGGAACGACCAATCACAGGGTTCCACAAGGTGGCCGGGGATTGGACAACCCGGCCACGAACAAGTATAAAGCCAGAGCGCTCAGAGCTCTGAGGGGGTTCAACGACACGAAGACCCAAGACGGCGGAAGAAGCCTAGGACCCTGGACCAAGCCCTCCAGCCCTTATAAGGGCTAGGGTTCAGTGTAACCAGTGGTCGGGGAGACATCCCCTAGGTCCAGTCAGAGGACATTGATAGAGCGGGATATTAAGTAGCCTGTAGGGTGCGGAGGCTTGTACGTTCTGAGTGTAACGGGTGAGGGGACCGTATACCCCTCAGTGCATAGGGACTGTGTTCATAAGACGAATAAAAGTGTGTGCTACAAAAGACGTTGAAGAGTCTGTCTGTACAACACTACACAATGATGGAGTGTAGAAGTGTCTATAAGCTATTTCATTAGCAGGTCTAGTGGCAAATTGAGCAACAAGTATGGATGAGAAGGAACGAGGGTTCTTGGTGGTAGAGTTAAGTGTGGCACTAGATATGGCTGGGAGGGACAGCAGTAGGATACACAGTAGGAGAACTGCCATCTTTAAATATCAAGGGTACACATGTTTAATACACAAAGCGAAAAAAAATACTTGTAGGCCGAGCACGAGAAACATCTTGCGAGAAGGCACTTGCCCCAACAGTATGTCAAGGATATACGGGGGATCTTTGCCTTTGTTGTCTAAGAGGCACTTGCCCCAACAGTGTGTCAAGGCTATACGGGGGAATAGCCCTTCTTCACATATGAACCTTATGGCGGACCCCGGGGTACCATAGTACCCCGGCTCTCGCATAATGTCCTGTGATGCAGTCATTTTTAGTCTGTTGATGATCGGCGATGCGGCAATCGAGTCATCTCGACGAGCTGTACACTATGCACCAAGGCCGTAGCCATGGAGTCAACATTGGGAGGGACCAAATCTTCCAGAGGGTCTGGGGACCCCCCCCCCCCCGCCACAGAAAAAAAATCTAAATTTGAAAACCAATTTCCTGCCTAAAATATTAAGAAATTTACTAACACTCTACACTTATTTGGACCATCTTATTTGACAGACAACTATTACAAGTTATTGATAGACAGCCAGTTTGTTGTTTTACCAGTTTTAGTTTTTACTTGCTTTCTTGTTTCACACTTTTGTTATGTATGCTAGGTGTTAGTTACAAACCGCATCTCTCCATAACAAAGGCTCAGTCCTTTGTTATGCAGTCTATTCTTAGTCTTAAGCCTCACCTTACCATATTAATAAAAAGTAGTGCCGTTCCTGGCCCTTCCCCCCTCAACCATTATATATACGGGGTGGTATTTCTTGTGATCTCTCATTTACTTGATACAGCTGTCGTGGCTGTGACGGTTCCACCTGAAGACGGAGGCTTGTGTTGCTTCCGAAACGTCGTGATTTTTTATTTTGTTTTATTTTACTTTTATTAATTTAATTTTTTTACATACGTGACTTTACCGAAAAAACCTAAGAATATAATTAATATAATTAGAGCACTGTGTATGACATTTATAATTAGTGACGCATGGCGTCACTACACGATCGACAGCCACGGTAATCGATTACGTCAAATTAGTTAAATGCGGCACCGTGACGGCATATAACAATACGACGCAAACTTACAGTGACGTCACGCGGCGATGACGTCAATTGTCAGTTTATATCTTGCGGCTGCGGGTAAAGTTGTGTTCAGGTCTGGGTGGGAGCAGTCACGTGTGGTCGGTGACGTCACGCGGACATGGCGGAGGCCGTGTCTCCACAGCGGCGCTTCTTCTGCCACCAGTGCGGATGCGACGTGTGCCCCAATCTCCCGGTTCGCTCTCTTCACACCTCGCACCACTTGACGCAACTGCTCCTCTACGTTCCCTCGACCATAGTCTTTCGAGCACCCCGGCAAACTATGGGCACACACGAGAGACGCGCGCTGGCGGCCTAGCGGGCGCCTCTAGGCCGACACACTGGGCTGTGTGAGTGGAGCTCCTTATAAACAATAACACGCGTAATGTCCAGCGAGCCCATCGGCCGAGTGTCCTGTCAACACGATTATTGTTAAGCAGCGTTTGTTTAAGCAAGCACATTCAGCAACCTGTTTCCACTTTTTGGGTCTCATCAGCAGTTAAGCTTGTCCGACGTAATGATGCTGCTGCTGGATTAACCAGATGTTTTTTTTGTCAGCATAGGCGCTCTCTTCCAGCACTTATCCCAGCATACTGTAAGGATAGACTGCAGTCTGTATCTGTGGATGTGATGTATAAAGCTGTGTGTACGTGTTGTGTAATGTTCACGATGTGTTTATTGGAGCCATAATGCTGCTTATACGAATTATAGTGAATGCGTGGCGTTAATTCTAGCATACACGTGTTTTTTTATTTGCCGCGGTTTGTGAGAGCTTAGATGATTGCAGTAGCTTCCACTGAATCAAATCAATTTTCATCCTCTTCAGATAAACACAATGGTATTTAATTGTCCTTTGGCTTTTCTGCATTCTACGTGGTAAATGTGAGAAAAACAAATTCTGAACTCAGCCTACTTGCCCAAATGTGGCATCTAAATTGGTCGTTTTCCATTTCTATAGTATGACAGTCTTATGGATTTGGAATTAATAAAATTAGTTTTATCCAAATTTTTTTACTCTATTATAATTTACGCATTTTTCCACAGTTGAGTTATTTTACAACTGAATATATTTGGTAAATATCTACTCAAAGTTTGATGTCCACAGTTATTCCTTCTGGTCCTAGAGCTTTCCTGTTATCAAACCTCTTCAGCTGTGACTTAGGTTATTTATATATAAAAGTTGTTCAAACTGTCGTTTAATAATAGAAATGGATCAGCTTCGCTTATACAGAATTGCGTAAATAAAAAAATACAATCGAGCACGAGTCCGATAAAGAAAGACTCAACAAGACTATTCAGTGTCAATGGAAATCATATTTCGAAAATTGGATTTGAGAAATGAAAGGCATAAACGTAAATTGAATAAAAGCAGAAACAATCTCAGATATCCTGACGACAGTCGTTATAAGTTGCCCATTCGGTTCTGAAGGGTTGTACTGCGTAAACATGCCCGTTAAGCTGCTAGCACGCAGAGTTCATTAACACGCGCATCATGGGCGAGCTGTTACGAAACCCAGCTAACTCTTTTGAAATGTCCGTGTAGCTGTAATTAGGCTGTAATTTGCTGAAGTGTCATTTTACCCCGACTTACAAACGCGCAAGCAAAACGCTTTATGATTAACGGCACCGTACCATGAGTACTAATACAACCATTAACACAGTACAATCAGTATTAGTGTGGAAAAGTACACAACAACGCAGGATCATAAGTACTTTTATGCAGCTAATAACACAGTTTATTCAGTGGTGATAAATCCAACAACATAGTCCGATCATTCCTCATGGTGAATGCATAAACCCATCAACGTAGTACAGTATGAACAATACTTGTATTCATATTCTTGGTTCTTTCAATAAAGTCACGTAGAAGGGAAAAAATAAAAAAATAAAATTCTCACCACGTTTCGATTGCAACACAAACAATCATCATCAGGTGTGAAAACCACAGCAATAAAATTAATCCCTGCAGTCACGAAATCTTTAAATCGAAACAATACTTGTGTTGAAAATGACACTACCAACTACGCAGCACGAGCAGTACTCGTACACCCAAAACAAAGTACCATCCGTACTCATACAGTACTTAAAATAGACAATACGTTTTCAGTATCAGGTACCCTCACAGCTGATACTCGATGTAAAATGTATACATTCTTATTTTGGCATGATACAACACAATCAGCATCGCAGTGTCATCAGCCCTGATGCTGAAAATGTCACCACGCAGGCCCTTCAATATTTATGCAGAATATGGCACAACCACCACAATACCTCCTGCAATGCTGTTGACAGCGACACCGCTCGCAACAGACGTGTCAGCACGGATGCAGTGTGACCTCGAAATATGGCGTGGGGGAGGCTTCGAAAACAAAGTGAAAATCTCAACCCCTCTACCAAAGCCCAACAACTGAACAGCGTGCCAAGTAACGCTGACTTTGTTGTCAGCTGCGGGTCCTCCCTGCGTGGATCTTCCCGCTCCAGGCATTCCATTTTATATTGATGTTATTACATGAATGTGTAATACGCATTTATAATATTCAAACCAATATAATTAACATTACAAGCTGTAAATAGTTCTAAATTTGGTGTGGATGGAAAGAACTTGGTGTTGAGTAAGTTGATATACTGGGGCACCCCATGCTTGAATTTCCCCAGTATTTCAAGAACACACTGCATTGAAAAAATACCACGGCTAGAGCAAATGCACGGGAAAACTCAACTGTCCATGTTGGTCTTCACACATCACCCTCGGTACTGCATACTACTGTGCTGTTTTTAATATGGAAGACACATTTTCACAAGTACTGCTACTGCAAATGGAAACACAACAAATCCGCTACCATCAGTACCGATTCTGAAACACAATACACATCCTCAGTGCTGTATTAATAATGCCACATTCGTAATAGCGTCATGGTTGATATTTTTCAGACACCGATTAATTTTTGTTGTATGTGTAGTTGGTCCACCACACTACTATTATAGTTTATTATAATAAACACGACAAAATGATATGGATTGGATGTTATTAAAAAATATATATTGCATGCAAATGTTCATAAATAACATTTACTTAGCGTTGGTGGTTTTGTTTTTATCTAGCATTGCCTATTCATTTTAATTTCAACATCACAGATTCATTCATTCTTGCAACCTTGAATAGTGTGCACGAATTGATTATCGATGATTCCCACCGAGTTATATGCACACGTTTTCCTGAAGGCCAATGGAAGCAAAGGCACAGTACGAACAAGACAAATAAGATGTAAAAAAATCGATTCGTGAAACAAATCATGACCCCTGCGTAGTGACAGATGGTATATATTTGCAGAGATAGAGGCTGTTCATTGGTTACATGCCAAGATATTTGTGTATTTTCTCACAGTAAGAGCCCCCCCCCCCCCTTCATAATATATTTTACCTATTTCTACCTCTGTATTGTCCCTGGGTTTCCTTGTAGCTAAGAGGTGTTCTCATACATTTCTGGAAAAAAATATCATACCAGATAATTTCACATTCCGTGGAATTGATTCCTTTGTGTGAGGAAAAATGCAATGTACATTCCATACAACTCCACAGCTGAAATGAAGACTTCTTAAGCTGACCATACTTCATCCTCCTAATGGACCAAATGTAAACATTTTCCTGCAGATTACTCAATTGTAATATTGAAAGTAATCATTGCCCCCTGCTGCAAATATTTGCCAGGACCTTCCTGAAAAACAGTCACGAGCTCAAGTGAGGCATTCCTGGGTTAACAAGCAGAAATCTATATATATAAAATCGTTCATGTCTGTCTGTGTGTGTGTGTGTGTATTTCGGCCCATACGCACTTTCATTGGACGGCGGTTGCCCCTGCCAACGGCTAGCCACGCCTTCGCCACTTTCATAAGCTCCGTATTTAATTAAATAATAGCCATTACACAGTATTGTTGGAGCGCTAGGGGGGGGGGGGAAGGAACGCCACCCGTACCCTGCCTCTTCCAAGCCGACAATTTTAGGCGAGGCCGCAGGCTTTGCACGCTACTAGGCCTCGACACCCACCACGCCACTCTGAGGTAAATTCATCAAAGTTTTTCCTACTCTTCACTACACCCCCACCACAATGTGTGCTATTAATATTACTTTTAAACCCAACGCGCCAACAATCGATTACTTTAATGTTCACTGTACAAATACTCATTAAGCTGGCTGAGCGTACTGCCAGTCTATCATGTACACTGTAGCCTGCTTATTAAGCTCGGTGAGCGTACTGCCACTCTATCATGTACACTCTAGCCTGCTTATGAAGCTGACTGCGTGTACTGGCAGTCTATAATGTGGACTGTAGCCTGGTTATTATAATCGATTCTTTATATGTTCTTTGTACAAACAGTCATTAAGCTGCTTGAGCGACCCCAGTTCGATTCCAACTCACGCCCACCACCGCTGACGATTATTTGAAACGGACCTGGCCCTCCCCTAGGTCCACTCAGCCTCAAAAGCGTAACTGCTGTCGTGTGTGAACATCGTCACTGGGGAGACAAAGGCGGCGGGGCATCGTGGATCCAAGTCCCGGGCGAAGCCGGGTCATGTGTATGTGTGTTTGTGTTTATGTGTATGTCTGTGTGTCTCTATGTATGTGTGTATGTATGTGTTTGTGTGTATGTGTGTGTGTATGTATGTGGGTTTTTTTATGTCTTTATGTGTATGTCTGCGTGTCTCTATGTATGTGTGTATGTACGTGTGTGCATGTGTTTGTGTGTATGTATGTGTGTGTCTATGTATGTGTGTGTATGTGTTTTTGTGTATGTATGTGTGTGTATGTATGTGTGTTATGTGTCTGTCTGTGTCTGCATGTATGTGTGTGTGTATTGTGTATGTGTTTGTGTGCATGTATGTGTGTGTTTGTGTGTATGTGTATGTCTGTGTGTATGTATGTGTGTGTGTGTGTATGTGTTTGTGTGTATGTGTGTGTATGTGTTTGTATGTGTTTGTGTGTTTACGCTCGCATTACACAAATGTGTTGCTGGTCTAAGGCGTTCCTCGCACAGCATTGCCGCTTTATTTTTTCAGTCGTTTACTGCCTTACGCACCCTGAAAGTCGTGTGTGTCTGCAGCAAGCGCGTGTATGTGTACCTATGGACGCGCGCGCGTGTGTTGTGTAGGGGGAACGGTAGTGTAGTGCTTAGCGTGCTGTCTGTGTCTGTGTGTGTGTGTCTGTCTGTGTGTGTCTGCGTGTGTCTGTGTGTGTGTCTGTGTGTGTGCGTGTGTGGTGTGTGGGGAGCGGTAGTGTAGTGCTTAGCGTGCTGTCTGTGTGTCTGTGTGTGTGTGTGTCTGTCTGTGTCTGTCTGTGTGTGTCTGCGTGTGTCTGTGTGTGTGTCTGTGCGTGTGTGGTGTGTGAGGAGCGGTGGGTGTAGTGCTTAACGCTACGCTGCGCTACCAACCCGGCGAACCGAGTTCGATTCCCGCTCACGGCCACCACCGGTGACGATTATTTGAACCTCCCCTAGGTCGACTAAGCCTCAAACGAGTAACTGGTGTTGCGTATTAACATCGGCACTGGGGAGACAAAGGCGGCCGGGCGTGGTGGATCCAAGTCCCGGGCGAAGCCGGGTCATGTGTATGTGTGTATGTGTTTATGTGTATGTCTGTGTGTCTGTATGCATGTGTGTATGTATGTGTGTGCATGTGTTTGTGTGTATGTATGTGTGTGTATGTATGTGTGTTATGTGTCTGTCTGTGTGTCTGCATGTATGTGTGTGTGTATTGTGTATGTGTTCGTGTGTGTTTGTGTGTTTACGCTCGCATTACACAAATGTGTAATGCGGGTCTAAGGCGTTCCTTACACAGCATTGCCGCTTTATTATTTCAGTCGTTTACTGCCGTACGCACCCTGAAAGTCGTGTGTGTCTGCAGCAAGCGCGTGTATGTGTACCTATGGACGCGCGCGCGTGTGTTGTGTAGCGGGAACGGTAGTGTAGTGCTTAGCGTGCTGTCTGTGTGTGTGTGTCTGTGTGTGTGTCTGTGTGTGTGTCTGTGTGTGTGCGTGTGTGGTGTGTGAGGAGCGGTGGGTGTAGTGCTTAACGCTACGCTGCGCTACCAACACGGCAAACCCAGTTCGATTCCCGCTCACGGCCACCACCGGTGACGATTATTTGAACCTCCCCTAGGTCGACTCTGCCTCAAACGAGTAACTGCTGTAGCGTATTAACATCGCCACTGGGGAGACAAAGGCGGCCGGCCGTGGTAGATACAAGTCCCGGGCGAAGCCGGGTAGTACAGCTAGTAATACTACAAAATAATGTTGGTCAGGATGGGTTGGTGAAGGTGGAGAGCATAGATATTGGAGCACAGAGTACAGCAATTTATTTTCCTTCACTTCCCTCTGCTATGGGGTTAAATTGGCAAAAGTCTTCAATACATTTTTTATGCACATAGTCGCAGTTTGTAATTTTGTCAACAAAATGTAGGATGCAGACTGTATTTTGGTATGCTGTCTTTGCTGCATCACAGACATTTACCCAAGTGAAATGATTACCGTATGAATTTCGATTTAAAGCTTTCGTGACTGCAGGGATTCATCTTCTTGGTTCTTTCGGTAAAGTCACGTAGAAGGGAAGTAATAAAATAATAAAAATAAAACATAAAATAATTCTCACGACGTTTCGGCCACAACGCAAGCAGCCGTCCTCAGGTGAAAACCAGGTCTGTCGAGGCGACAGCGTCTGAATGAAACAGCACACGTGCTTGGAGCATATATGTAAGCTGGATTGGAAGGGGGGGAAAGGGCGCCTTGACAAAATAATTTGCATATCAAGAGGAATTTAGCATATTTATGGGAAATGCAGTGCAGGTATGTGATTAGTACTACTTATGCCCGTGCATAATGCAGGATTTGCAGCATCAAAGGGAGGGGATATGGGAAATGCAGGTATGTGATTAGTACTACTTATGCCCATGCATTATGCAGGATTAGCAGCATCAAAGGAAGGGGATATGGGAAATGCAGGTATGTGATTAGTACTACTTATGCCCGTGCATTATGCAGGATTAGCAGCATCAAAGGGAGGGGAAGAAGTGTTAATAGTATGTAGCTGCAGTAACTAAAACCACCACGTAAACAACTAAAGTATAAACTAACATAGTATCATCAGTATAGAGTATATTTAGTATACTGATGATACTATGTTAGTCGATGGGCTTTAGCCGAGTGAATTCATTAAACAGCCAAATGCAGGGCTCTTATGAGTAAGTAGCTGAAGACTTTTAGTTGTGCCTTTCTGGGTAACTTGTGTGCTTGTTAATGGCCATTAGGGGTTAAATTTCATTCTTTGGTTTGTGGCAGAACGAACTGGATTTTAATGGATGGGCAGGTCTTGCTTAAAACTGGAACTTGGTTTTTCCCCTTTTGCTGCAGTTAAGTTTAAGATCTTGAGTTGATCGCAGCCGGTGCTATTAATGTCACCACGTATCACTATTGCTTCCTCCTTTCTGCTAGATTTCGCACCTTCATGGAGTATTAGGCAAAGGTTACCCGAATGCACAGTCAGTTTAAGCAGACCTACACGTAAAGGGCAGTGAGTGTTTCGCACGTTAATCTTTATGTTGCAGAGTAACCATTTCAAACCGTTTGATGCATCAAAGCCACATTAAAATGCTAATTGGACACTAAATCAAGATTTCAAGGTTTTTTTACAGCCTTAATTAAAATTAATGTTTAGAAAATGTATTTATCGTGTTGTTTATTGTGTTGTCTCTGACCTATTCACCTAAAATAAGCCTGATCTCACCAGGTTTCAGAAGCAAAGCGGGCTTTAGCCTGCATAGTGCTTGGTTGGTTGCCCACCGTACAAGCCATGGTGTTGTAAGTGGTTGCGGGCATGTGCTACGTCTATGCCCCCCCCCCCGCGTTCATCAACCCGCATTGAACGGCGTCAGCGCGGTGGAGTGTGCACATGACAGGCGAGACAGTCTCGCGTCGCTATCTCATGGCGCAATGAATTGTGCTGGCGGGAGGGAGAAACGGCACCTGTTCACAGCACTGGTCGGAACCGGCTCGCGTTGGTTCGGCAGGTCAACCACGCAAGCTTGTGTTCTGCTCGGGCACAGCTTTGTTAGGCCACAATGGTATGTATGTATGTTGAACTTCTTTCGCACCGTACGTAACCAACCGTGCAATGGGAAGTGCAGGGGAAGGACAATAAACTAAACACAAATCAGTTCCAAACAAATTAGTTTTCAATCTAGATTTAAAGGTGCATAGTAGCTTCCTAATATTGGAAGGAAGAGCGTTTCAGATGGCTGCAGAAGTGCATCTGAAAGCGCGCAATGCAGTGACCATCTTTGATGGAAGATGGCACAACGGGATGTGAGCCCTGCATCTTGAGAGTTGCGAATAAGTGTGGTGTCCCTGACTCTGTGTATGCATGTTTGTGCTGAAGGATTACACATGCCCCCGCTGTGAATCGGGATTCATCGAGGAACTGCTCGCAGAACCCAGGTACTTAACACCCAGCGTGTGGCTGTGCTTTCCCTGAACCCCACGTGTTTGTGTGTGTGTTTTATTTAAGTTTAATTATAGACGTTGCATGTTTGCATGTACAGCCGCTGCCGGAAGAATACCGTGTAGGTCACGAGGCTTACATAAGTACAGTGGCTAACATCCAATTGTTGAGATTTTCCATTGATAAAGTGATAAAACAGCCTTCAGTTAATTGTTTTAATTTATCAGATCCAAATGGCAATTGTGTTTTGAAGATACTCAACTATGTCCACTCCCATTCTAGTCGCCTTAAACTATGGATGGGCTTGGTGAAGTGCGATTTTGAGTAGTGTAGTCACACTCACTGGCTCGACGACAAGAATTTGTGCATGTTAATAAAAGGGGGGGGGAGTGTTCACCAAGATACGATGGGGCCCCTTGGCCAAACGCACATTCTTCTCTTCATTCACAGTTTGTTCCCGAGTCTCAAAGGTGCAAAGGAGTTCATGAAAATAACTCGTCTAAATGTTGTTCTCTCATATATATTTTTTTGGTCAATGTTGGGACCAGTGTGCAGACCAGCGCACCTAGAAGTCACGATGAAAATCCCTTGACAAGAATTGAGGAGGTAGGTGTGAGCACGTGCATTGCCAAAGGCTCTCTCACTTTTTTTTGTAAAAAGCCTCGCCGAGTCTCATGACCCATCTTCAATTGAGTCCTGCATTTGGGCATTCTTAACAGAAAAGTCATAAAAACAAGATTGCCTGTACACCCTAATCCAGTAACTCACTTGAATATGGATCTTGAGACTTGAGTAAGGCTTTCCTGACTAAACAAAGGGCGTTACTTTTATCATTATTAGTCTTGAAGTACAGTGTCGGGAAGACGGCACTGGCCCGAGAACGGTACATGCTTCTTGCTTATCCCTAGGATTTAAAAGCCTCCGGCAGGAGTGCGATTAACAACGTTCCGTGTTTGTCTCGATGACTTTTTGGGTTTTTGATTTGCACACGACTATAATTCCAATCAATTGTCCTTCACCTCTTTCCTACGCAAGGTCCTCGACCAGATGTTGTTGGAATTCAACCCCCTGACGGGGTTGCGGCTGATGACATTCGGCTCCCCCTCTTCTTCATCCACCTCGTCCTCGGCGTCCCGGCAGCACGCGAGCGGCACGGACGACGCGCATGGGAGCTCGGCGCCAGTATCCTCGTCGTCGTCATCGGACGAGGGCGGGGTTGCGTCGGAAGTGGATGGCGCAGCCATCCATGCGCCGGGGCACCAGCATGCCGGTGCTGGGCTGGGTGCAGGGCAACAGCAGCAGCGAGCGCAGTGGGAGCATTTCCACATTCACACGCACGCGGGGCGTGTGCCGTCCATCGAGGGGTGAGGGCAGTGGGCATTGGTGGCTGTTGCTGGCCGCCACTCGCTGGTAGACTCCAAAAAAAAAAGTGCTTGTCCCTTTACCAAATTTCGATTTAAAGCTTTCGTGACTGCAGGGATTCATCTTATTGGTTCTTTCGGTAAAGTCACGTAGAATGGAAATAATAAAATAATAAAAATAATGTTTTATTTTTATTATTTTATTATTACCTTTACCAAATGTTATCCTGATTGTGTTTTCGCAAGCATTGCAGTAAGAAGCAGATGCCACAGCCACCTCTAACATCCCTTCAAGTAACCTGTGGTCCACACATTAGCAGGCGAGCGCTTTTCTACGCGCTCTGCCACCGAGAGTCATGTTTGTTACACGAGAGCTGGAATTTTTTCAAGTTAAGTCGAGAACCAAATGTTCAAATGTGATTTTTTTTCTGTGCAATCGATGCTTACCAGTCTGAGACCATTAACTAGCTGCAAATGAGAACCTGGTTTAATCACAGGCAGCTGCCTTAATTCAGACCTAGGATCGTTTTAAATCTCATGTAGATGAGCCAATATAAATCAAGCTGTCGTGTAAAGTGGTCCGAAGAAGCGATGGATGGACCGAATAAAGAAGACATAAAGACGGGCAACGCATCCCCTGAAGATGCCCTGGACCGAGCCAAATGGAGAAGACAATGCCGAAAAGCGGACCCTGCGCCACAGCGGGAACAACGCTAGGAAGAAGAAGTGTAAAGTGGTGTTGCTATTTGAGGCTTACCTGTTTGGAAACTGGCCAAGTTGATAAAAGGTCTTGTCAAAGACCTGCGGAGACACAAACCAGAGCAAACATGACTACTTGAAAATATACAAATGAGTTTTGCCCTGCCAGCTATTGCTAATTAAATGCCGAAACTAAACTGTTTTTATTTACAAGGTAAGGCCCACTGAGCTGTCTAGCTCTTTTTCATAAGCGACCTGGCCACAAATGATAGCTCAACGAAGTGGCTTATCATCATGTGGAAATGTATAGCAGCTAAATACTCTAAACACCTATTTCTGAATGCGGAGGGAAAAACAGGAGGACCCAGAGAAAAATGCACACTCCAAATGTACAAGTGTAAGGGTTGGGATTGAATTTCCTGTATACCAGGCAAGGTAGTTAACATCTCACTACCGCAGCACCTCTAATACTTCCAAGGACCAATGCTTGGAAAGTATTACAGAATAAATATGCGTGATTTTTCATGTTTTATTTTGTACTAATCATGATGCCTTTATTTCAGAGTCATCCAGCAGCTGCTTGGCAATTTACTGGGTCATCCGATCACCGGCCAGCCCGGCGCCTCGTGGTAGGAGCACCACTTCTTGACTTTGCTGTGCAGTGATTTGTCTCTTTGTTAATTATTCAAGGTGCTTGTGGGCGGCATAATAATTTTAAGCTAAAATAAGGGGTGCAAGAAATTTGTATTAAATATAAACCGTTTTGCTTCATGTCTTGCAGTTCTGTCGGTGCAAAGGTGTTGACACATCTATTTGTTTATTGCAAAGTTAGTGCATCATGCTTCATGCGAATGGACCGCTGACTTTACCTGGAATAACAGAAAGAGTGGAAAATGAATGGCTTTTCAGATGGCCCGCCTTCCTTTATTAAAATAGGTAACTTGTCAAAGTGTTTACTTCTTATTCTTTGGGTCTTTCGGTAAAGCCACGTAAATATTAAAATAATGAAAATATCACGACGTTTCGATCGCAACACAAGCAATCATCATCAGGTGAAAAAAATATATAGCGGGAGAGCTGCTGAAGCAGGATTTTATATAGGTTTGAGATGGGTTTAGCCCAAGGTTAAGTGGGTGGGGCTAGAGATGGAATTTGCATATACAGTGAGGGGAAAAAAGTATTTGATCCCCTGCTGATTTTGTACGTTTGCCCACTGACAAAGAAATGATCAGTCTATAATTTTAAATGTAGGTTTATTTGAACAGTGAGAGACAGAATAACAACAACAAAATCCAGAAAAACGCATGTCAAACATGTTATAAATTGATTTGCATTTTAATGAGGGAAATAAGTATTTGACCCCTCTGCAAAACATGACATGGTGGCAAAACCCTTGTTGGCAATCACAGAGGTCGGACGTTTCTTGTAGTTGGCCACCAGGTTTGCACACATCTCGGGAGGGATTTTGTCCCACTCCTCTTTGCAGATCTTCTCCAAGTCATTAAGGTTTTGAAGCTGATGTTTGGCAACTCGAACCTTCAGCTCCCTCCACAGATTTTCTATGGGATTAGGATCTGGAGAACTGGCTAGGCCACTCCAGGACCTTAATGTGCTTCTTCTTGAGCCACTCCTTTGTTGCCTTGGCCGTGTGTTTTGGGTCATTGTCATGCTGGAATACCCATCCATGACCCATTTTTAATGCCCTGGCTGAGGGAAGGAGGTTTTCACCCAAGATTTGACGGTACATGGCCCCGTCCATCGTCCCTTTGATGTGGTGAAGTTGTCCTGTCCCCTTAGCAGAAAAACACCCCCAAAGCATAATGTTTCCACCTCCATGTTTGACGGTAGGGATGGTGTTTTTGGGGTCATAGGCAGCATTCCTCCTCCTCCAAACACGGCGAGTTGAGTTGATGCCAAAGAGCTCCATTTTGGTCTCATCTGACCACAACACTTTCACCCAGTTGTCCTCTGAATCATTCAGATGTTCATTGGCAAACTTCAGACAGGCATGTATATGTGCTTTCTTGAGCAGGGGGACCTTGCGGGCGCTGCAGGATTTCAGTCCTTCACGGCATAGTGTGCTACCAACTGTTTTCTTGGTGACTATGGTCCCAGCTGCCTTGAGATCATTGACAAGATCCTACCGTGTAGTTCTGGGCTGATTCCTCACCATCCTCATGATCATTGCAACTCCACGAGGTGAGATCTTGCATGGAGCCCCAGGCCGAGGGAGATTGACAGTTCTTTTGTGTTTCTTCCATTTGTGAATAATCGCACCAACTGTTGTCACCTTCTCACCAAGCTACTTGGCGATGGTCTTGTAGCCCATTCCAGCCTTGTGTAGGTCTACAATCTTGTCCCTGACATCCTTGGAGAGCTCTTTGGTCTTGGCCATGGTGGAGAGTTTGGAATCTGATTGATTGATTGTTTTTGTGAACATGTGTCTTTTATACAGGTAACAAGCTGAGATTAAGAGCACTCTCTTTAAGAGTGTGCTCATAATCTCAGCTCGTTACCATAAATCTTTCTGATTGAGAGGGGGTCAAATACTTATTTCCCTAATTAAAATGCAAATCAATTTATAACATTTTTGACATGCGTTTTTCTGGATTTTTGTTGTTATTCTGTCTCTCACTGTTCAAATAAACCTACCATTAAAATTATAGACTGATCATTTCTTTGTCAGTGGGCAAACGTACAAAATCAGCAGGGGATCAAATACTTTTTTCCCTCACTGTAAATGTAAGATCGGAGAGCTGATATACCTTCATGACGACTCAGCTGTGGAGGTGGCCTTGTTATTGTGAGAGATTAGCATGTCAATGTAAGCGAACCACCGCAACGGTGGCTGTGCTAGTGTTCCACCTCCATGGTGAATTTAATGGCTGGGTGTATGGAATTGATGTGGTTGAAGAATTGGCCCAGCGCTGGTAGACCGTGTGGCCAGATGACGAACATGTTATCTACGTATCTCTTCCACAAGGAAGGACATAGGGTGGATGCCTGGATGGCATCTGTCTCAAATTTTTCCATGAAAACATTGGCTACAACTGGAGATAAAGGCGAACCCATTGGGGAACCTTCAACTTGTTTGTAGAATGTTCCATTCCAGGTGAAGTAAGTGTTGGTGAGGCAGTGTCTAACCAGGGCTGGTACATCAGCATTCAGTCCTTGTTGGACCAAATATTCAATGATTGCAATGGTGTCAGGCACAGGAACTTTGGTAAACAAAGATACTACATCGAAACTGACAAGAAAATCACCTGAAGATAGTGAGATGTCCTTAATTAGAGATACCAAGTGAGCTGAGTTAAGTATAGCTGAGGTGATCTTACCAGTGAATGGTTGTAGGGTCTCAGACAGAAATCGGGCCAGTTTGTAGGTGGGTGAGTTAATGGTGGAGACGATAGGACGGAGTGGTGTACCTTCTTTATGGATTTTTGGTAAGCCATAAAATCTGGGTGGTCTAGCAGCAGATGGCTTTAAGGAAAGCCGCTTGGTTGGTTCGATTAAAGATGTCGAATCAGTGATGATATTGTTGGTTTTCATAACCAGGCGGTTGGTCGGATCTTTATTGATTTTGGTATAGCTGCCATCAAGTAGTTCCTGAATTTTGTTATTGTATGTGGTTTTGTCCATGATGACAGTGGCATTGCCCTTATCAGCTGAGAGGATGACTTTTCATCTCTCTTTTTTAGTTGAGAAAGCTCAAAGCGCTCATCCTTGCTGATGTTGCTCATAGGTGTCTTAGCGTTTTTGAGGACTGCAGCGATTTCCGATCTTGCCACGTCTGCAAGAATGTGTCTCAAACTCTTAAGGGCTAAGTCGACCTGGGCAATGATATCATCAACTGAGATTTGTTTATGGGTGACTGTGAAATTCAACCCTTTAGCTAGAACCGATTTTAGGCTATTTGAAAATGGGCTGTTACTCGGATTAATAACAATCTTGTCATCGTCTAACTTATTAACGTGTCGATCTGGCTTATTTTTGGAAAGGAGGGTGAACTTGGAAATCAGGTCATCTTTGCATTTAGCTGACATTGAGGCGGCTGAAGAGGCTGTCATGTTATCTACATGGTCCCAATCAGATGTAGACATGTTTACTTCTTCCTTCGTTTAAACTCTGTCCACAGCAGCAACTGTGCGTAGGAAAATATCTCAAGTTTAGTCCAGTGTTTTTCATTACAAGCCTCGTGAGCCACTGGCGGCCCCTGGTGGCCTTTAGTATCCCCCTGACGTACAGCCCCCATCAATACACAAATATGAAAACACCCCCTTGCAGGCGGTGTGGCGGCCCTTGCACTGATGATGTCTTATCAGGAAAGTGGCTCGCCTCTGAAAATTAGTGAAGAGCACTTGTTTAATTTGTGGCCATAAGTCAGCTGCATGTATAGAACAAGGTATGACATGTGGTATGGTTTCATTTGTGTTATTTCAACTTTAGATTATAAACAACTAATCTGCGAACATGGGCAGTCAGCGCGAATATATATTCACATATAAAATTTATATTATAATTTATATACACAAAAACAAAGATCTAACATATAGCCTTAACAAACTGAGCAACTGCTGTTAGTGCGCCTTTGGAGGCCGACATGGCACACGAGGGGGTAGGTGGCCAGCACCACGCCCGGGCGACTTTGTCTCCCAAGTGGAAATATTTACACACCATACCAGGTACTCGTTTGAGGCTGAGTCAACTTAGTGGAGGCCCAGGACCGGTTAAGATGATTATCACTGGTGATAGCTGTGAGCAGGACTCGAACTCAGGTGCTCTAGGTTTGTAGCACAGCGTGCTAACAGCTACACAACCGCAGATACCCACCCACAATGATGTGGTGGCATACAGGAGTGCCAGACTAATGCACTGTGAACAGAGCATGTCTACAAACTATGATCAGTATGTAGGACAAAGCAGGCTGTCACACCCTTTTCATCACAATATAAATATTTGATTTCTGTGCAGGGGCTTTCTGCACTCAGATCCTGGTGATTACGCATGGGGCCTGAATGGGCTGGATCGGATCATCACTCAGGTGTGTCTGGTGCCACACCTGTCATCGGCATCTTGTAGATGCGTACCCTGGCCGTGTGTCCCCAGCGCTGCCTGCTATGAGTTTGAAGCGTTTTCAATTGACGAGACAAGCCGAGTAATGTCAGAGTTTTGGAAGTGCACAGTGAAAACTGGGGCGTTTATCCATACCACAGCCGTGCATTTTTAACTGTTTCTCAGCAGGCAGCCACTTTTGAAAATTCTGTGAACTTAGTTCAGTTGGGATTTTTGTAAAAAAAAATCAGAATGAATGGGGCATCGCCCTGCTCTTTATTTGCAATATTTTGTTGATATCTGTAGCTGCAATAATTTGCTCATAATTAAACCCTCACACTTCTGCATTCAGCGCTTCCACATTTTGTACATTGATGTTAGTGCTGAATGGTCTCATGCTGGTCATTGATGCCTAGCCAGTGGTCCCGATGTCGGAGCTCCGAGTAATTTTTGCAGTGTTTTTGACAAATATATTGAGTTTTTTGTTATTTCTGCATGCGTACCACTATCAAGCAGCATCTCCAATAATTTGCTTTAGAGATGTTTTGTCTGATGAACCAATGGTTCTTTCGTCATTTGAGTTGTAAATATGCAGAAGTGAAAAACTACATTTAATATGATATTTTAAATGTGAAACCATTCATTGGTGTCTTAGTTGAGGCTATCAACTCACCAAACTTGAGAATCCAGTATAAGCAGAGGTAATGCCGAAGCCACTTTGTTTTGTGTCCTTCCCTCACACCTCCGATAAGCACAGTGGGACAGAAGTTGAACATATATACATACATCGACTCGCACAGTGACTCGTGGACTCAAGCTATATATACATACATATACTCTGCCACCTTTTGTTTTCCTGTGTAATGTTGGGTTCTGCCTGTGGCAGCTGCTGGAACAGCTGGACACATCAGGACCCCCACCAGCTGACCGAGCCAGGATCCACACGCTGCCCAACATCACCATCACGCAGCAACACGTCGGTGCGTACCAATAATGGTATCCAGTACACCAACCCCCCCGCCCCCACCACCATCAAAGGGCAACCGGCCATGTGCCAGGCAACCACCCTCGTAGGCTGAACAGAGGCTAAGTGAGGAAGTGGTCAATGCGACGTAAACTGTGAGTGAAAGCGGAACTTCAGAATCAAAATCTTTATTCATCCCGAAGACATCTAATGAGTGATGAAGCTCTTTTTCACAGATTTCCAGTCGGAGTAGGGTCAGAATGTTAAAACAACAAACAATACAAAGAAACTAAGAATGCAAAGTATAGGTAAGCAAATCACAAAAAAATAAGTAAACAAATACTTTATTTATTTTACTGGTGAGCTATTAGTTCCTTTTTTAGAAGCAACCTGGCCACAAATGAAAGCTGAATGAAGTGGCTTATGTAGAAATTTACAGACGGGACACGCAGAAAGTAGTCTGTAAGCCGGTAATGTGACAAGCCACCATGTTTAAACATTGCGGGTGAATTGACATGGTAAAAAGAAATATACACAATGCACAAACATGCCCTGTAGAGAAATACGCCCTGGCTTCTAAGTGTCAGTACAGAACATCGGCATGGCTTGTGAGTGGCAGTATAGAAAAATTCCATTGGTTGAAAGTATTCGTACATAAGGATGAGACTGCTGGTAAGTAATTGTGCGCCGCCTGTCCAGACGCGGGTCTGGAGTGCTCCGTCTGCAGGGAGGACTTTGCGGAAACTGAGGTGGTACGGCAGCTGCCCTGCAAGCACATGTACCACAATGACTGCATCGTGCCCTGGCTAGAGCTGGTGAGTCCGCAACGCTGTGGAGGTGTTCAGCCCTTGCACAGTGTGACGATCTGCCATTTAAAATGCTATAATTTCGGCGGCCTACAGCTGCCTTATTCTAGCTCCTGTGGAGGGTTTCTTAGTGCCTCGCCCGTTGCCCCCACTTATGTCCTCTTCTTTCCCCCCCTCCCAGTGTGTGCAGATACTACTGACTATTGTATGTGGGGTGTGTAGGCATATATGCCGACACAATAAAAACATTTTGGGTGGGGGGGGGGTGAAACTTTTTTTTTGGCAAGGTGGGGGGGGTTTGACAATTTTTGGAAACCTGTTGGAGAAACTTTTTATCCCCACACCTAGGGGGGTCCACTTTCTATAATGTTAGATTCACGCCTTCTAAAAGGCTCTTATAATTTAGTTGGTGGACAAACGGAACGCCGGGCTTTTAGAATAAGAAGCTGTGTACTAAATGAATGCTTCGATCATCTCGCATAAGGTGGTACTCCTCTCAGGCTTGCCCTCTCTGTTGAGCGTGGATGGCGCTTTTACATTTTTGCAGCGTGATTGAATCTATGTTGGACTTCTTTTGCACTGTACATAACCAACCGTGCTAATCGTGCTTGCACGGTAGTGTTGGCATTTCCCAAAATTCCGCACGGTCTAAAAACTCCTTGCGCATCGGTGGCGGGCGAAATAGGACACTGAACTGACGCGTGTGTTGTTTCCACCGTGTTGCCCCCACACCGCCCCGACCCCCACCAGCATGACACGTGCCCCGTGTGCCGGAAGAGCCTGAATGGTGAGAACACGGCCACGAACCAGCATGCTTTTGCCGGCGCCACATTCGGCGCGCCCGGCCCACCTGGAGGACCCGGGACGAGTCGCCATGAGCAGTAGGACCTGGCCCGGAATCTTCCCAGACAGGAGGTCCCCGCCCACCCCCATTGCCCCTCTGTCCTCGCTCCCTCATCCTCCAATGCCCTCCTCTCCCCCTTCCTGGTGTGAATCAGTGAGGTATGTGTACGTATGTTTGTTGGACTTCTTTCGCACCATACGTAGCCAACCATGCTAATCGGAGGTGCAGGGGAAGGACAACAAACTAAAACACAAAAAGCAGTTTCTAAAAAAATTAGTTTTCAATTTAGATTTAGGAGGTTATAGCTCCAGTGGCTTTCGGTGACAATCTTTGTACGATAGCCAAAAGCCGCTGCGAGGTGGAGTTGTCTTGCTAGAGCAAGGGGAGTGGAATTACTGTCAGCAGTTCAGCTCCTGGTTTACTTTTATAGTTGAATTAAGAGAAATGGATAAGACTAATTCTCATATGAAACATTTTATTTATTATTGTTAATAATAATCGGGTACCAAACGATTGCACAATGCCAAACACGAACCAGAATCTGTATATTGATACGACTTTCGGAACAAGAACGCATACAAAAATACATTTTTTAAGATGACATTTTTTGCGATGAAGTGGTTGACAATAATTCACTGTCATTTCCATCGCAAAGCGATCAAAATGATGGGATATTTTGTTCAAATATATGATTGTTTTTTTTTACTTACTCGCACATCTTAGAAGAGTTTGGCTACTAACACAGGGCACTGGTAGGGTCTCGTGTAGCCCCAGACTAAGAGTTTTGGTTTCCTTCTCAAACCAAGGCAAGTGGGTTCCCATTCATCCCTTCCATTTATAGAATGTGCATGCATTTTTGAAAAGTGTCAACTGGAAGTGGCAGGGAAAATACGTGGCCAGAATTTTTTCCACTTTTGGAAATTGCATTGCCTTTATTAATAGAGAATGGGGTAAAAAAAATCGGCTGGCACCTTTGCTGACGCATAGTCCTGTAGCATTAACATGCAGGTGCTGTTCAACTATGGTCCGGCATCGAACCATAACCGGGTTATTCTCATATGCATATCAAAGGAAAATTCTGGTAGACCATTGGAATCCTGAATGATCCTGGGAACACAAGCGGCAAATATATCTGTGGAAGCCCCCAGTCAATATTTGCTCAGTGGGGGGGTCACTTTCCACTGCTACACTATAGTCTAGAACTCCCTTTCCCCTGCCATCTGTGCAGTCGACTCCCTGCACAGCCCTGTTCAAGGTGAGGTTCAAGACCTTCATTTTTTCCTCTGCCTATGACTGACTGCCTCTATAAAGTTAATGTTCTCCCCTTTTTGTACAGTGTTGAGATGCGGTCACATTTAGACTTTAAATCCACTTTGTATTGTAAAATATATTGTAGTCCCTAAGGATGGCTTGGTGTGTAAAGGATTGTGTGGAACCTGCAGCACTGTGCATCCTTCACCCTGAAACAACAACATGCTTTAATTTCTTCTGTTATCTGCTAAAACCAAAGCTCATGTTCCATTCCATTGAATTTGCTTCTGGCCATTTGTAAGGTACTTACACCAAAACCAGCTTATCTGGCCAGCAATCTCCTACAGTTCTGTTTGCGCAGCACTGCTTGGTAGCATTTCTGGAGATTATAATTAAACAAGTTAATAGTGCAGTTTTCACACATTCGGTTTTCCTTGGGTCCAAGGTCCATCGTCTTAATTTTGTCTGCACTGGCTGCAGTGTAAACTCGCTGACGATGAGAAAAAAACGAGGTGCACCTCAACCTAAAACCGAGGGCGGAGTGGACAAGCTTGTTGCGTGGTGTTTTTATGTTGTATAAGAAAACAACCTGTTCTCTGTTGACGCGTGACTGCTGCTCGTGATTCCACAGCCGCTGGTGTGCATCCCATGGAATTTTGTGAAATTGCCACTGCAGTTTGGGGGGAAAGAAGTGTGGTGCACATGTTCTGTCCTCACCCCAGCACCGTAGCCCACTCAACAGAGTTGCATTGCCCAGTGGCAGAGGCCCGCAATAAATATTCAATTGGGCATCTTACAGGTTTAGGAAAAAGTAAGCCAATGCGAAGCACATTTTTTTAGTTTTTAGTGAATGCTCATGCTTTGCGTAAAGATGGTGTGTTTGAGTGCACAGCGGATCTACGCAATGCTTTTTGGTGAACACATGCGTTGGGTTGCCTGTGTGTTCTTATATTTTGTTCAAGTCAATTCCCGAACACTAGTACTCCGCACAACCCTCAATATAATTGAGCCAGCTCTTTTTTTTATATTTCGAAAAATGTTATTTATGCGCAGCACAACAACTGTAAATGCACCGTTGTGCCCTGAAAAATAATTTTCATCTCTCAAGACACACCTCGGGGGAGACCTACGATAAAACTCTAGTCCATGAGATGTTCCCCCCCCCAACAGTTTCTGGTCACTGTAACTCTGGTGTTGGCAGAGAGGGATCGTGCTCCGCTGGCTCACGGCGCCCACCGTCTTGAGTGCTGTGCGGTCGTGGTGGTCATGTTCCCTTCCTGACTGCATTGCTTCCGGTTCAGACTCTGCCGTGGTTTGATTTGTGTGCGGTGGTCTTCCATCTGCGCCGTCTCATTTGACGGCCATAGGTGACGGAGCCATCCCTCGGATACGGCGAATCGGGACAACCGCCCTGAGCACCGTGCTTAAGGAGCTCCGCGCTTGGGAGTGACGGTGTCGGATGTAATCATTTAAGTTTAATTTGAAGGCGTTGGGGGACCCACACTGGGATTTTCCCTGGACCCTGCTCCTGCATATGGACGACGGCCCTTGTGACAGTGCAGTTGGGTTAGGGAGACAGGCAGCTTTGGATTGAGGGTGGCTCATGCCAAATGCCGCACAGTTTGAAATCCGGTCGTGTGTTTAGTGGGCCTTATTCTATGCTGATGGTCAGATACAGAATCTTTACTGTGTGTGTACATGTACAATCCTTTGATCAAACCACTCGTGGATAACAGTCCCTCCGCACACCGTGCTGGTCATACATGTCAAGTTACCATCTCACCTGCTGGTTAATGCGGGTTGGTGAATGTGCATTTGTCGGCTTGGCTGCAATTTTTTTAAATTTCAGTCAAAATGATGCTCTCGCAATTAGGTTTGATCGTCTGAGATGTATTTACGTGACGCAAACAATTTTTTCACCTTTTCTACAGCACTTTCACAAACACAACTCTGCCAGGTTTACGGTGCTGTTTTTGTCTTGGTTAAAGAAAACTCCCGTGGCCTCTTGCCGCGTTCGGTTAATTGCTCGGCTAGTTCTCGACGCCGTTGGCCAAGGTCTTGACGGTGCGACACAACTGCGCAGTCCACCCAGTTCAGATGAGTCGCGCGACAATGCCGACTTCTCGCCTAACGCAGGGAAGGGGAACTTCTGGCTAACCGCCCATGGCCAGTGTCCGGCCCACAATTGGATTTCATCCACCCCATGGCCACATGAAGCTCACCACATTGCAACGTTTGTATGTATGCTGAACTTCTTTCGCACGGTACGTAGCTAACCGTGCTAATCAGATGTGTGGGGGAATGACAATAAACTAAACACAAAGCAGTTCTAAAGTTTTCATCCTAGATGTAAAAGTGCATAGCGCCAGTGGTTTCCTAATATCGGAAAGAAGAGCATTCCAGACGGCCGCAGAAGCGCATCTGAAAGCGCACAATGCATTTGACCATGTTTGTTCAATGGTTAGCCAAAAGCCGCTGCTGCAAGGCTGACCGGCCTACAGACATACTTTTATCTGTCACTGCAAGCGTCATGACCACAGTAATTGAGTACTGGAGTGGAGTTTATTTTTTCCAGGCATAGATGCGTTTCAAATTTGTGGATCTTGCTGCAAGGTGGTCTATTGTAATGACAGAAGTGTGTGTTAATGTGCGGTTGCCCACCAAAGGTTTTTAAAAGTCCTATTCGGCCCGTTGCAAGGAAAAGGTTCCCCATCCATGACTTCCCGGTCTGGAACGCTTAACGGAATGGAGGCAGGATTTGAGCGCATGCAATGCTATCACACAGCTCGCCAGTCTCCAAGTCGGCGCACAAGCGGTTTCGTTTATGCATCGGGTGCTAGTGTGTGTGAAATTGGCCATAGGTCGCTGGTCTCTATACTGACAGGGCCACGTCCTCTTCCACTACTGGCAAACTAATGCACATTTGCAGGCCGGTGCTGCATTCATCTGATGCCTCTGCATCAGAAGATCAGCTGCTGCCACGGGGTCCCCCTTGGTGAGCCTGCAGCAGGGCATCGGAAAGGTTGAGACAATATGTGATGCATGGTGCTACGAGTTACCGAGGCATTTAAGCGAACGCCCGTGTACAGGATAATCCTTATTGCGCTGTGACTGCTGCTGCCAACGTAGACGTATTCTTTCCTTTGTGGCAGGTGGCGCCCCCTAACTGTGACGTGACGCGCGCGCATATTTATGATACTGGGCTGGCGTGAAATATTTTTCGAATTTTGCAACATGGGTGACCAGGGTAAGCATACGGGTGCATTGGGGTAACTTGTAAATATACACACGCACACACATGCTCTTTGGCCTCTAGGGTTGTGTAAGTAGCCCTTGGGGCCATCTGTACATTGCATAGTGTAACTTGCAAGCCAATGCGAATTAGAAAATTGTGTTGCAATTAAGTGTAGTTTGGTACTGCCCCGCCACCATTCATTGACACCTACTGTATGTATTCAATTGCAAGGTTGCACATTATGCTGTCCCACTTTACCAAACGCCAGTCCTCGCACCCCACCCACCGCATTTCCTTGTTTACCATTCGCCATTCAATTTCGGATTGCGGCGGTGCTGTTTTGGCAGTGGTGCTAAATTACGAATGATAAATGGAACACGTTCGTCAATAACAAAGCCTTAATAAGGAAACATAATAGGTGACGTTTCGGGCAATGATCCTTCATAGCACACATGTACAGATTTTTGCTACATGCTGAATGTGTCTGACTGGTAAACACATCCCACATGACGACATTTGGAGCGCCGATTCAATAGAGGATGTGGCATTGCTCTTGGCAGCACATGAGACACGTTTACACTCGCACAAGGTCCTCTATTTTTATTTGAATTTGAGCTCTACGTTACATTGGACACACACAAGATCCTCTCTGTCAATTGGCACATAACAAAAAAGCCTCAACCGCCATGCTTCATTCTTCACCGAGCTGTGTTGACATCTAAACTGTGCTTATGCCATGGGAGGTGCAGGGTACTTGTGCCAGGCAAGGTAGAAGGATACGGGACAGGCCCACGTGTTTATTATGGGTTGTCCGAGGTAGCTGGCAAATGCCTCGTGGGACCTACATGTGGTACACGCACGTACAAACGTGCACTGGATTTCAATTTGAACATTTATCCACTGTTCTCTACGCACAAGTTCTCTTAAATTGAATCTGCTTTGTCACATGGGCCTTGTTTACCAGTCATCAGGCGTGTGTGGCACGTATGACTTTGTTTTGTACGTGAATGGAGATTAGTAAATTGTTTTAAAGGCACTCCATATATGGGGCAAGAGAGCTGGAGAATGGTAGAGCCTGTATGAGTATCTGATGCTCGGGATGACACTCGCAGTTCTGACTGTTGCCGAGTGATTTTTATTGAGCAACTTCTCCAAACGATCGGCGCTTCTCTGGTGATCGTGCGAGCCGCCGCTTTATACGGAGGCTGCTCTTCTTAGTCGCTCGGCTCAAGCCTGGCTCCCACCTGGCTCAGACTACCACATGGCTCTGGCACCCACATGGCTCCTGCTCGAGCCGCTTGGTTGCATACAAAGACTCGGAGTGGCTCGGCCATGGCTTGACTCAGCTTCTGGAAACCCTGAGCATGGCTGGGGTGGGAGGGCACTGTGCTTGGAGCCAGTTCAAGTGAAACATCACTTTGGGCTGGCTCGCCTTGAGCCAAGCCTCAGCGAGCGATTAATAAGAATACCGGCCTGGGGTTTTGTTGTTGCACTTTTCGCGATTCTCATTTCACAAACGCATTTGTAAGGACACGTCCCTCAAGTGTTTTAAAAATATATATATCTTTAAATCTGATTTGCAAATCGTGAAAACGTAATTCGGTAACCGAATCCTGGAAGAGGCGCATGGTGAACACGGACGCAACGAACACTTCCTCTCGTGGTCCAAAGGAACGGCATTGTACAAGGACGTGATTGAGCTGTCCCGAGGTGCATGGATTCAAGTAAAGTGCACATGCGTCATCGATTGTGTGAGCGGGGTGTAGCGACGCATTGATTCATAGATTTAATGTCGATCGTTCAGATCTCGATAGTGCTTAGAATCGCGCGCGTGCACCAGTCAACGTTATACTATTTCCTCGTTATTCGCGAGGGATACGTTCCGGAGATGCTCATGATTCGCAAATTTCGCTGTTAATTTTGACCTACATAAATACATAAATAAGCTATTCAATACGTGAAAAGTATAACAAAAAATGTAATTGGTTATAATAAACAAATAAAATAAATATTGAGGTATTAAATAGTTTATAAATGCATTTACTTCAAATTATGATAATGCTGTGCATCACTTTATCTCATCAATTTCTCATATTCTCTCATCTCTTTCTCTCCATGCAGCAGTCGTGTAGAGTTCCAGATGCAATTTGCGGATAACCAAAATAGCGGCTGTCAAGTTCGTGAACAACGAGAGAATGCTGTACGATTGATGTGCGTTGCTTTGCAATTGGTGTTCTTGACCCCTGTTACCGCTAAGAGAGCCGCTCCATTCACAACGTTCCAACGAAATTCCGTTACGCCCATTGGTAAAATTACTGCATTGTAGATGTCAATGAAAGACCCAAAAAGATAAGCTTTTGCTATGCACGGCATCTCACAGGTTTTGATGTTTTTCTTTTTTTAATGCGTGTCAACAATGTATTAAAAGTGTTGGTGATTTTAAGTAGGCGGTGAGAGATCCCGTGATCGCCCTTCACTGCCCTTGACTTCAATTAAAGTTTCTCAACATTGCAAATGCCTCCATAAATATGTTGCTCCTTATTTAAAACACATTCCTGCGGAGGGAGCTGGTAGGAACGTTGGGTTGCTCGGTCAATGGTCAGGGTCAACGGCGGCGTGGTGTATTCCGCAAATATGGCCGACTGAGGGCGGGTACAAGCCCGCGTGAGTAGGTTAAACGTTGAGTTTTATAAGGACACCACGGGGTGACCAGCCCCTCTCCACCCATTTTTGGGTGCACAACGGACGGACGGACACAATAATCCCCTGTGGGCTGGTGGAACCAGGTGGTTCCTATTTAAAGCTTTCGTAACTGCAGGGATTCATCTTGGTTCTTTCGGTAAAGCCACGTAGAAGGAAAATAATAAAAATAAAACAATAATTCTCACTAGTGAGAATTATTTTATTTTATTATGTTTTATTATTTTCCTTCTACGTGACTTTACCGAAAGAACCAAGAAGACAGGTGGTTCCTACCAGTATTATACAGGATACTACGTTCATGCACGAGTAGTGGTGCTGTGATCAGCATGCCTACGCTATTAACCCGGCAATTTTAGCTCAATTTACAACCACGGCTAACATCTGTGGCGAGAGATTTCTGAACTGGTCCTGAGCACTCACACCTTAATGAAGGGTTTACACACGTGTTCGGAGGAACCTTGCTGAGAAGCGCTGTATAAGGTATTAAAATTGGTTTGTGTTCACCGTTGTGGTGCTGGGTATGTGCTCCATTTGACCGTTTAATGTCGGCCATACCGCCAACCCGGCCGGTGCGGTGAGCAGAGAGTGCAATACAAATAACCTCATGTATTTACAAAGTACTTGCATGGCCATGGCTGTATGTAATGCATTTTTGTGATTTCAGCAGTTGTACATGGCTTGAGTCGTATAAATATGACAAACCAAGGGAATAGTTTGTATTTGCTGAACAGGAGTAAAAATAGGATTTTCAGCCAGCTGTGCTTAGGAAAGTCCACTATTCAGAACAAGCGTTATTTTAATATATGTTTTTCTCAACGTTCCAACTCGGATCCAATGAAATGAGGATGTGGCTCTTTTGTTATTTTGTTTTGTCACCTATACTATGTAATAATTACTGGTGCTGTTTTATGTGAGTGGGTGGTTTTATTTTCTTCGAAGCAATCTGTGTGTCGGCGAGAATGTGGTGGTGAAGATGAGATTTATTTTAATCTTTTTGCGACAACCCCTCAATTTTCCATAGCAGAGTTTACCGTAACGCTTCGGATTCCACATCTATTATTACAACAAAAAATACCGCGGGCTTCTTCGCTAAGTCACTCTCCGTTCAATTTAAAGGAAATGAAAACAATTGTCATCGTCTCTCTTGCACTTTCAGCTGCATGTGCTGCTGTTGGTCTTGCGTGTTCTTGGTCGTAAGTGGCGCAGGGGTTCTGCTGCTACCGCTGTTTGCCCTGTGATTGCACGCACTGTTTGGCTCAAGCCCCAAGGGCCTCCCCATTCAAACAAAAGCCGGGCATACTGGCTTTAGAGTTCCAGAGTGAAAAGCTGGGGGGGGGGGGGATTATCCACCGCGTATCCCAGGGCCACCACGCTGTAAATATTTGCATTTCAATACCTGGTAACGCGGGCAGGCGGGCCACAGAGTTGAGGAACTCCGCCATCGTTGCCGTCGCCTTTTTTGCGATCGGCGCGTCCCCTGTTCCATCGCTAACTTTAGACTAAAAGCATCGCTTTGCTTTGTTTCGAAGTTGTTGCACGCTATTCCGTGCGTGGCTTACGCGGTGCTGTTAACGCCATGCGGAGTTTGTGTTCCAAAGTTTGACCTTGGTTTTCGTGGATGAAAAGGGACCCATCATGGCAGCGGCGTATTACTACAGGCCACACACAGCTCCTGTAAGTGCTCTTTGCTTTGAACACGCTGTGTATTAACATACGTGACTTGTTTAGCTCTGTGCAGACTATAATGAAGACGTTTTAACAGAATGTGTGCATAGCCTTTTTTTAAAATATAAGACTTCGGTGTAGTAGCTGCTGTTTGTTTTGAATGTTAATCTGTATCTAACTTCAATTAACGTATGGCATGAAGCCCGGATGTGAACGTATGTTCGGTTTTCTCCGGGCCACTCCTGATTTGACCTGAACGGAGCAAAACACTGCTTGCTCATGACAACCATTGAGACTCATCACGAATGGAGGATGTTTTAGAATGATGAAGGCTTAAGATCCACTTAATGTAACAAAAAAAATTAAAAATATCGGCTGGGGTTCCACTTTGTGTGTTTTCTCGGTGCAACCGGACCACGCGAGAGACAGTCGTCGCACGCGAGTATTTACATCATATTGCAGCTCAAACCCCCTTTTTCCATTTATTGCCCTGGAATCCCCGGTTTGGGAATTCCTTCCCATCTGTTTTTCACAATCCTCCACAATTCAAGAAACATTTGCCATATTCCCCAAGCTTGTGTTCGTAAAACTCTTTATATACATTTTAAAAAATCGAATTTGCCTATCACTCTGGGTTTGGTACACGTTTGCTGTTTTTCTCCCTCTTTCGGAATGTACTTTTTATTCTGGGTTCTTTAATGACAATAAATAAAAAAAATAAACATAAATCTGCCAAGCATCCCAATGCTGAACCCTCCAGAATACAAGTCTTGAGTCTCGGTAATGCTACGCATGGCGATATCGTGAAACAGAAAGCCCTCCCGTGGTCGGTTTTGTGTGGCTGTGCCAGGGCAGGCCCTGCTATGGCACGGCCTGGCAGGAAAAAATTTGCCGCTGTTGCAGAGGCTCCACGGCTCGAACACAGCGGCTGCCCTGATTTATTGCTGCTGTGCGTAATAATTATAATAATGCTACCCTGCCGAGTGCTTTAAAGCGGACATTAAAAGAAGCCCTGACGTCATTTGCAAGACTCGGTCGGCCATTTGCGTGTGGGGGGGGCAAACATGTCTAGTTAAAAATGTACACGCTAGTTACGCACTTTGTGATTGCATGCAGCAATCGTCGCCCCCTACTGGCAGACTGATGGCCATTTGCAGGCCTGATGCAGAGTCGCGCCCACAGGGTCAGCTGTCACTGGGGGTGCCCTTTTCAAGTGTGAGAGATGAGATGTGACGTAAAGCACTCTGAGATGCCCCGATGTATAAGGCGCTACATCAGAAGTAATAATAATGATAATCGTCAGCTTGATGCTCGCCGCTCTGACGCGCGTAGTTGCGGGAGAGCCCGGATTTGCCGCCGCACGACGCACTCAGCCGAATTTTGCCAGAGTACGAGCATCTCTTCCGGGCCCACGGGAACCCTGTGCCAGCGCCGGTAGTACCGGCGGCACCGACGGGGTCCAAGAGCCAGGGCGGCTCGACCGCACGGCACACTCTTCCGCCACAGCCAACCAGCACAGCTGAGTAAGAGTTTGCTTCATTTCAATGGGTAAAAGTGCAGCCCTTGAATTTCTTACGCCGCCGCTGCTAGCGGAAGGGTCTCGACAAGAAAGAGATCTTGAGAGACCCTCCACATGTATTTTTGACCTTCCACGCTGCCAGACTTCTTGGAAGAGGTGGGAGTTTCTCCACTTCAACCAAACTCGAATTGCCTATCGCGTGTCTATATGCATATTGAACTTCTTTCCCACCATACGTAGCCAACCGTGCTAATCGGGGGTACATTATATCTACCCTTTTGTGCTGCTGGATAGACGGAGGCAGGGATGATATTAGAAACTTACACCGTTTTTCAGTGTGGTTCCGATAATTTGTGAACTGGACTACATTGAAAATCCAGGCAAGAATTTCACTAATTTTAATTTGGTGCGATATGAACCAAAGTGAAGTGATGGCTGCTCGGGTTGCTCATGGCCTTCCTCCAGCAGTGGATTGATCATGGCTGATGATAATGATGGTGGAGGAGGAGGAATATATGAAGGGTTATTTCATAAATTGAACATTGTTTTAAATGTTTTACAAAATACCACTGCCGTGACATCTTGGCAAATCTATGGGCCGATACGGCATCGTTTCTAACCGATTGTGAAAATTTTAAATAACGCACTGCTGACGTAAGCGGCACAGCACCCAGGTGAACGTAACATGGCCGGCACGGAGATCTCTAGTAGCAAACACGGGGGGGGGGGCGAGTGTTGTGTTTATGGAGGTGACGCGAGCGATATCTCGGTCTCAGGAGGATGGATCCCCACAGCTCCGTCGTCCTGGACTACCAAACCAAGGTATGTTAGCATGTTATTGAACTGTAGGATCAACGTTGGCCCAACGTTGCATGTTTAATGGGTTTGTGCCCACCCGCTCCGTGGCTTGCCTCCCATAACGTGCGATACAATATGCAATTGATTTATTAAGCATCTCAATATTTACGTCTCGAGACTTAAGGTAATTTTTGCATTGTCTGACTCGAGGCAAGTCGTGATGTTCGGCGAGTGCCCCGCGTTAGGCCAGTTTCCCACTTTAGTTCAGTACCTTGGTTTAGGCCAGTGCATTGCTTCACTGCAGTGTCCCGCTTTAGGCCAGTGGTCAGCTTTAGACCAGTGGTCATCTTTAGGCCAGAGCCTCGCTTTATTCCAGTGACCTGCTTTAGGCCTGTGGTCTTTAGGTCATTGTCCCACTTTAGCACAGTTGTCAGTTTTAGGTCCGTGTCCCACTTTAGGACATTTGTCAGCTTTAAGCCAGCGGTCAACTTTAGGTCAGTGCCTCACTTTAGACAAGTTTCCCACTTTATTCAAATGTCCCACTTTCGGACAGTGCCTCATTTTAGGCCAGTGTCCTACTTTAGAACAGTGGCCATCTTTAGGTCAGTGGCCCACTTTTTCCCAGTAGTCAGCTTTTTAGGCCAGCGCCTCACTTTCAGCCAGTTATCAGCTTTATTCCAGTGCCTCACTTTAGGCCAGCGTCACACATTAGGCCAGTGGTTAGTTTTAGGCCAGTGTCACACTTTAGGCCAGTGGTTAGTTTTAGGCCAGTGTCACACTTTAGGCCAGCGGTGAGCTTTAGGCCAGTGTCCCCCTTTAGGCTAGTGGTCAGCTTTAGGCCAGTGTCCCACTTGAGGCTTGTGTCCCACTTTCGGACAGTGCCTCACATTAGGCCATTGTCCCGCTTTAGGGCACTGCATTGCTTCACTGCTGTAAGCATATGTCTCACTTCAGGCCAGTGGTCAGCTTTAGGCTAGTAACCGGCTTTAGGCCATTGGTCCACTTGAGGACAATGGCCATCTTTAGGGTATTGTCCCACTTTAGCCCAGTGGTCAGCTTTAGGGCAGTACCTCACTTTCAGCCACTGATCAGGTTTAGGCCAGTACCTCGCTCTAGGCCAGCATCCCACTTTAGGCCAATGGTCAGCTTTAGGTCAGTGTCTCACTTTAGGCCGGTGTCCTACTTTAGGCCAGTGGTCAGCTTTAGGCCAGTTTTTCACTTTAGAACATTGTCACGCTTTAGGCCAGTGTCCTATTTTATTCCAGTGTCATGATTTAGGCTATTCTCCCTCTTTAGGCCAGTGTTCCACTTCAGGACGGTGTGCCCAAATTTAGGCCAGTGGTCAGCTTTAGGGCAGTGCCTCGCTAATGCCAGTGTCTCGCTTTAGTATTGTGTCCCACTTCAGGCCAGTTGTCAGCTTTAGGCTAGTATCCATCTTTAGGCCAGTGGTCCACTTTAGTCTAGTTCCACACTTTCGGCCAGTGTCCCACTTTAGTACAATGCCTCACTTTAGGCCAGTGCCCCACTTTAGGCCAGTGTCCCGCCTTAGGCCAGTGTCCCGCCTTAGGCCAGTGTCCCGCTTTAGGCCAGTGTCCCGCTTTAGGCCAGTGTCCCACTTTAGGCCAGTGTCACACTTTAGGCCAGTGGTCAGCTTTAGATAATTGCCTCGCCTTAGGCCCGTGATCAGCTTTAGAGCAGTGCCTCGTTTTAAGCCAACATCCCACTTTAGGCCAATATTCCACATTAGGCCAGTGGCCATCTTTAAGTCAGTGTCCCACTTTAGTCCAGTTTCTAACGTTAGGCCATTGGTCAGCTTTAAGCCCACAGTCAACTTTAGGCCAGTATCACACGTTAAGCCATTGTCCTGCTTTCGGACAGTTTTTAGCTTGTGACCAGTGCCTCGCTTTAGGCCAGTGCCTCACTTCAGGTTAATTTCCCGCTGTAGACCACTGCTTCGCTTTAGGTCAGTGTCACACTTTAGGCCATTGTCCCACTTTAGGCCAGTAATCAGCTTTAATCCGGTGTCCCACTTTCGGCCAGTGATGCGCTTTTGGTCAATGCCTCGCTTTAAGCCAGTGTCCCACTTTAGGGCACTGCATTGCTTCACTGCTGTAAGCATGTCTCACTTCAGGCCAGTGGTCAGCTTTAGGCTAGTAACCGGCTTTAGGCCATTGGTCCACTTGAGGACAATGGCCATCTTTAGGGCATTGTCCCACTTTAGCCCAGTGGTCAGCTTTAGGGCAGTACCTCACTTTCAGCCACTGATCAGGTTTAGGCCAGTACCTCGCTCTAGGCCAGCGTCCCACTGTATGTCATTGGTCAGCTTTAGGCCATTGTCCCACTGTAGGCCAGCGTACCACTTTAGGCCAATGGTCAGCTTTAAGTCAGTGTCTCACTTTAGGCCGGTGTTCTACTTTAGGCCAGTGGTCAGCTTTAGGCCAGTTTTTCACTTTAGAACAGTCACGCTTTAGGCCAGTGTCCTATTTTATTCCAGTGTCATGAATTAGGCTATTCTCCCTCTTTAGGCCAGTGTTCCACTTCAGGACGGTGTCCAAATTTAGGCCAGTGGTCAGCTTTAGGGCAGTGCCTCGCTTTATGCCAGTGTCTCGCTTTAGTCTTGTGTCCCACTTCAGGCCAGTTGTCAGCTTTAGGCTAGTATCCATCCTTGGGCCAGTGGTCCACTTTAGTTCCACACTTTCGGCCAGTGTCCCATTTTAGTACAATGCCTCACTTTAGGCCAGTGTTCCACTTTAGGCCAGTGTCCCGCCTTAGGCCAGTGTCCCGATTTAGGCCAGTGGTCAGCTTTAGGCCAGTGTCCCGCTTTAGGCCAGTGTCACACTTTAGGCCAGTGGTCAGCTTTAGGTAATTGCCTCGCTTTAGGCCCGTGATCAGCTTTAGAGCAGTGCCTCGTTTTAAGCCAACATCCCACTTTAGGCCAATATTCCACATTAGGCCAGTGGCCATTTTTAAGTCAGTGTCCCACTTTAATCCAGTTTTTAACGTTAGGCCATTGGTCAGCTTTAAGCCCACAGTCAACTTTAGGCCAGTATCACACGGTAAGCCATTGTCCTGCTTTCGGACAGTTTTTAGCTTGGGACCAGTGCCTCGCTTTAGGCCAGTGCCTCACTTCAGGTTAATTTCCCGCTGTAGACCACTGCTTCGCTTTAGGTCAGTGTCACACTTTAGGCCATTGTCCCACTTTAGGCCAGTAGTCGGGTTGAGGCCAGTTTAGAGCTTTAGACCATTGCTTCACTTTATGCCAGTGTCCCACTTTAGGCCATTGGTCAGCTTCAAGCCAGCGGTCACCGTTAGGCAAGTGTCCAACTTTAGGCCAGTGTCCCACTTTCAGCCATTGTCTTACTTTAGGCCAGTGTTCTGCTTTAAACCAGTGCCTCACTTGATACTGGCGCCTCACTTTAGGCTATTCCCACTTTAGACCAGTGTCCCACTTTAGGCTTGTGGTCAGCTTTAGGTCAGTATTCGACTATAGATCAGTGCATCACTTTACGTTAGTGTCCCGCTTTAGACCAATGCCTCGCTTTAGGTCAGTGTCACACTTTAGGCCAGTGTTCCACTTTAGGCCAATGGTCAGCTTTAGGTCAGAGTCTCACTTTAGGCCAGTGCCTCACTTTCAGCCAGTGATCAGTTTTAGGCCATTGCCTCGCTTTAAGCCAGCGTACCACTGTAGGACAGTGCCTCACTTTCAGCCAGTGATCAGGTTTAGGCCAGTTCCTCACTTTAGGCCAGCGTCCCACTTTATGCCAGTGGTCAGCTTTAGGCCAGTGCCTTGCTTTATCCCAGTGTCCCGCTTTAGTCCTGTGTCGCTCTTCAGGCCAGTTGTCAGCTTTAGGCCATTATCCGTTTTGATGCCAGTGTTCCACTTTTGTCTAGTGTCACACTTTAGGCCAGTGTCCCACTTTAGGCCAGTAATCAGCTTTAATCCGGTGTCCCACTTTCGGCCAGTGATGCGCTTTTGGTCAATGCCTCGCTTTAAGCCAGTGTCCCACTTTAGGGCACTGCATTGCTTCACTGCTGTAAGCATGTCTCACTTCAGGCCAGTGGTCAGCTTTAGGCTAGTAACCGGCTTTAAGCCATTGGTCCACTTGAGGACAGTGATCAGGTTTAGGGCAATACCTCGCTATAGGCCAGCATCCCACTTTATGTCATTGGTCAGCTTTAGGCCATTGTCCCACTGTAGGCCAGCGTATCACTTTAGGCCAATTGTCAGCTTTAGGTCAGTGTCTCACTTTAGGCCAGTGGTCAGCTTTAGGCCAGTGCCTCACTTTCAGCCAGTGATCAGTTTTAGGCCATTGCCTCGCTTCAAGCCAGCATCCCACTTTAGGCCAATATTCCACTTTAGGCCAGTGGTCAGCTTTAGACCAGTGTGCCACTTTAGGCTAGTGGTCAGCTTTAGGCCAGCGTCCCTTTTTAGTCCAATGGTCAGTTTTAGATCAGTGCCCCGCTTTAGATCTCAGCTTTAGGTCTGTGTCCCACTTCAGGCCAGTGTCCCGCTTTAAGCCAGCAGCTCACTTTAGGCCAGTGGTCAGCTTTAGGCCAGTGTGCCACTTTAGGCCAGTGGTCAGCTTTAGGCCAGCGTCCCTATTTAGTCCGTTGGTCAGTTTTAGATCAGTGTCCCGCTTTAGGTCAGTATCCCACTTTAGGTCAGTGGTCAGTTTTAATCCAGTGTCCCACCTTAGGCCAATGTCCCACTTTAGGCCAGTGTCCCACTTTTTAGGCCATTTGTCAGATTTAAGCCAGCATTCAACTTCAGGCCAGTGCCTCACTTTAGTCCAGTTTCCCACTTTAGGCCAATGTTCCACTTTAGGCCAGTGGTCAGCTTTATGCCAGCAGTCAACTTTAGGCCAGTCATCGGCTTTAGGTCAGTGTCTCACTTTCGGCCAGTGGTCAGCTTTAATCCAGCAGTCAACTTTAGGCCAGTGTCCCGCTTTAAGCCATTGTCCTGCTTTAAGCCATTGTTCTGCTTTAGGCCATTGTCCTGCTTTGGGCCAGTGTCCCACTTTTGCCCACTTCTCAGCTTTAGGTCAGTGTTCCACTTTAGGCCATTGGTCAGCTTTGAGCCAGCAGTCAATTTTAGGCCAGTGGTCACCTTTAGGCCAGTGCCTCGCTTTAGCCCAGTGTCCCACTTTTTAGGCCATTTGTCATATTTAAGCCAGCAGTCAACTTTAGGTCAGTGCCTAACTTTAGTCCAGTTTCCCACTTTAGGAAAGTGTCCGACTTTAGGACAGTGTCTCACTTTAGGCCAGTGGTCAGCTTTAGGCCAGGATGCCCCTTTAGGTCAGTGTCCCACTTTAGGCCAGTGGTCAGCTTTAATCCAGTGTCCCACTTTAGGCCAGTGTCCCGCTTTAAGCCATTGTTCTGCTTTCGGCCAATGTCCCACTTTAGCCCAGTTTCCAGCTTTAGACCGGTGCCTCGCTTTAGGCCAGGATGCCCCTTTAGGTCAGTGTCCCACTTTAGGCCAGTGGTCAGCTTTAATCCAGTGTCCCACTTTAGGCCAGTGTCCCGCTTTAAGCCATTGTTCTGCTTTCGGCCAATGTCCCACTTTAGCCCAGTTTCCAGCTTTAGACCGGTGCCTCGCTTTAGGCCAGTGCCTCACTTTAGGCCATTTTCCTACTTTAGGCCAGTGGTCAGCTTTACGCCAGCATGCCCCTTTAGGTCAGTGTCCCACTTTAGGCCAGTGATCATCTTTAATCCAGTGGTCAGCTTTAAGCCAGCAGTCAACTTTAGGCCAGTGTCCCACTTTAGGTCAGTGTGCCGCTTTAAGCCAGCGTCCCACTTTAGGCCAGTGGTAAGCTTTAGGCCAGTGTGCCACTTTAGGCCAGTGGTCAGCTTTAGGCCAGCGTCTCTTTTTAGTCCAATGGTCAGTTTTAGATCAGTGTCCCGCTTTAGTTCTCCGCTTTAGGTCAGTGTTCCACTTTAGGCCAGTGGTCAGCTTTAATCCAGTGTCCCACTTTAGGCCAATGTCCCACTTTAGGCTAGTGTCCAACTTTTAGGCCATTTGTCAGATTTAAGCAAGTGTCCTTCTTTAGGCCAGTGCCTCACTTTAGTCTAGTTTCCCACTTTAGGCCAATGTCTCACTTTAGGCCAGTGGTCAGCTTTATGCCAGCAGTCAACTTTAGGCGAGTCATCGGCTTTAGGCCAGTGTCTCACTTTCGGCCAGTGGTCAGCTATAATCCAGCAGTCAACTTTAGACCAGTGTCCCACTTTAGGCCAATGTCCCACTTTAGGCCAGTGTCCCACTTTTAGGCTATTTCTCAGATTTAAGCAAGTGTCCTACTTTAGGACAGTGCTTCACCTTAGGCCAATGTCCCACATTAGGCCAGTGGTCAGCTTTAGGTCAGTGTTTCACTTTAGGCCAGTGATCAGCTTTAGGTCATTGGTCAGCTTTAAGCCAGCAGTCAACTTTAGGCCAGTCATCAGCTTTAGGCCAGTATCCCACTTTAGATCAATGTCTCACTGTAGGCCAGTGGTCACCTTTAGGCCATTGTCTCGCTTTAGCCCAGTGTCCCACTTTTAGGCCATTTGTCAGATTTAAGCCAACGGTCAACTTTATGCCAGTGCCTCACGTTAGTCCAGTTTCCCACTTTAGGCAAGTGTCCCACTTTAGGACCGTGTCCCACTTTAGGCCACTGGTCAGCTTTAGACCAGTTTTCTGCTTTAGGCCAGTGTCCCACTTTAGGCCAGTGTCCCACTTTAGGCCAGTGTCCCACTTTAGGCCAGTGTCCCACTTTAGGCCAGTGTCCCACTTTTGTTCAGTGGTCAGCTTTAGGCCAGCATGCTCCTTTAGGTCAGTGTCCCACTTTAGGCTAGTGGTCAGCTTTAATCCAGTGTCCCACTTTAGGCCATTGTCCCGCTTTAAGCCATTATTCTGCTTTAGGCCAGTGTCCCTCTTTAGCCCAGTTTTCAGCTTTAGACCGGTGCCTCGCTTTAGGCCAGTGCCTCACTTTAGGCCGTTTTCCACTATAGACCACTGCTTCGCTTTAGGTCAGTTTCAGACTTTAGGCCATTGTCTCACTTTAGGCCAGTGGTCAGCTTTAGGCCAGTATCCCATTTCATGCCAGTGTCCCATTTTAGGCTAGTGTCCCTCTTTAGGCCAGTGTGCCACTTTAGGCCAGTGGTCAGCTTTAGGCCAGCGTCCCTTTTTAGTCCAAAGTTCATTTTTAGATCAGTGTCCCACTTTAGACCAGTGGTCAGCTTTAAGCCAGTGCTCACTTTAGGCCAGTGATCAGCTTTAGGCTAGTGCCTCACTTTAGGCCTGTGTCCTCCTTTAGGCCAGGTTTCAGCTTTAGGTTAGTGTCCCACTCTAGGCCAGTGCCTCACTTTAGGTCAGTGCCTCATTTTAGATCAGTGTCCCACTTTAGGCCATTGGTCAGCTTTAAGCCAGCATTCAGCTTTAGGCCAGTGTCCCATTTAGGCCAGTGGTCAGCTTTAATCCGGTGTCCCACTTTCGGCCAATGATACGCTTTTGGTCAATGCCTCGCTTTAAGCCAGTGTCCCACTTTAGGCCAGTTGTGAGCTTTAGGCTAGTGTCCCACTTTAGGCCAGTGGTCAGCTTTAGTCCAGCGTCCCCCTTGGGGCAAGTGTCCCATTTGACGCCAGTGGTCCGTTTTAGGCCAGTGTCCCACTTTAGGCCATTGTCCCACTTTAGGCCAGTGCCTCGCTTTAGCCCAATGGTCAACTTTAGAACAGTGGTCATCTTTAGGCCAGTGTTTGTGCTCGAAGAAGATGGGGCCCAGATGCCCCATGACGTCCCCCCGCGTCGCCGTCGTGGCAGGAGCTGGACAGCTACCGCTCGGTGCTGCGCAAGATGGCCGACGACATCCTGGCGTTGCGGCGTGAGGTGGGGCGCCTGGAGAGCGAGAACAGCCGCCTGCGCAGCGAGCTGAGCATGCACCGCGAGACCGGGCGCGCCCTGCTCGCTGACGCCGACCTCGACGTCATGACCAAGAGCGAGCTCGCCGACCGGCTTGGTACGAGCCTCGTTGGGGGTCGTGATTTTTCACTGAAGCATCATTCGCGTAAAATACTTCATCGAGCGCACGTCCACGCGTGTACATTCGTGCATGCACGAGGAAACCATGGTGGGAAGCCACGGCGGCTGGGAGCCAGCCAAAATCGGCTCTAACAATTGCCCAAGTTCTGTTGGGTCTACTTTGGGGGTGTTTGCCCAACTTTATGCGAGTCGTCAGCTTTATGCGTGTGGGAGGAAGCCGAACTACCCAGAAAAATCTGTACAGAACAAGGGGAGAGCACAGAGACTCTACACTGAAAGGAGCCCAATTTAGTAATCAAACTCAGGTCTGTCCTGCTGTGAGGCACACGTGTTACCACTGCCACCCTGCCTCCATTAATTTTTTCTATGAAATTGGTGACCAAAATCAATGAGTTTTTACTTTTTATTATTTTAGTCATCGACGGGCTGTGAGTTGATGAAAATGATCAAGCACAAATATAACTACGGCTACCAAGAAATTATCAATGCACTCTGAAAGAAAGACACAGACCGAGATAATTTAGTCACGTTATTGGAGACAGCAGAAGATTCCTGGTGACTAAACAAACTCCTCGCGACAGATACGCTGAACCAAAAATAAAACAAATACAGTGTGCGATAGGTGACGTTTTGGGAAATGGGGCCTTATTCATAGCACTTGAGGTTCTATGGAGCAGGGCCATAATGGATGAGTGTAAATGTAACAGACAGCCTGCAGCACACAGTACGTGTGCTGATCTGTCAGACATCGGCCACATGATGTGATTTTGCGTTTCTAATTAAAGCCGGATAGAAATAAAATTACTTGAAAATGGAAATGTTCCACTTTTGAATCTGAGGACAAATGCTCGTTATTTTAGTTATTTTTTTTAAATAAGACCGGTTATATATTATGTAGTATTACATCACTGTGCTATCTATGAACCCGGCGACCGAAGTTTGATTCCCAACTATGGTCGCTGAACTGAGCCTGGGCTTTCCGTTGGCCAACCTGCACTGACCAAGATGGTGGCACACGGTCATACAACCCTGACTGCCACAAGGGGTGGGGAGGCCTTCATTTACCAGTGAATTGCTAGATATATATAAAGTAGTATTAGTCTTAATAAATACAATGCACGAGACTTGCGTAACAACACCTCCAATAATCTGGGTGATGTTTGAATGGGTGTTCGCCTTGCATGACCGCTGTTATCTATATATATAAAATCGTTCATGTCTGTCTGTCTGTGTGTGTGTGTGTGGACTTTGGCCCATACGCACTTTCATTGGACGGCGGTTGCCCCTGACAACGGCTAGCCACGCCTTCGCCGCTTTCATTGGACCTGGCAACGGCTAGCCACGCCTTCGCCAAGGGCTGCAGTTTCATTGGACGGCGGTTGCCCCTGCCAACGGCTAGCCACGCCTTCGCCACTTTCATAAGCTCCGTATTTAATTAAATAATAGCCATTACACAGTATTGTTGGAGCGCTAGGGGGGGGGGAAGGAACGCCACCCGTACCCTGCCTCTTCCAAGCCGACAATTTTAGGCGAGGCCGCAGGCTTTGCACGCTACTAGGCCTCGACACCCACCACGCCACTCTGAGGTAAATTCATCAAAGTTTTTCCTACTCTTCACTACACCCCCACCACATTGTGTGCTATTAATATTACTTTTAAACCCAACGCGCCAACAATCGATTACTTTCATGTTCACTGTACAAATACTCATTAAGCTGGGTGAGCGTACTGCCAGTCTATCATATACACTGTAGCCTGCTTATTAAGCTCGGTGAGCGTACTGCCACTCTATCATGTACACTCTAGCCTGCTTATGAAGCTGAGTGCGTGTACTGGCAGTCTATAATGTGGACTCTTGCCTGGTTATTATAATCGATTCTTTATATGTTCTTTGTACAAACAGTCATTAAGCTGCTTGAGCGACCCCAGTTCGATTCCAACTCACGCCCACCACCGCTGACGATTATTTGAAACGGACCTGGCCCTCCCCTAGGTCCACTCAGCCTCAAAAGCGTAACTGCTGTCGTGTGTGAACATCGTCACTGGGGAGACAAAGGCGGCGGGGCATCGTGGATCAAAGTCCCGGGCGAAGCCGGGTCATGTGTATGTGTGTTTGTGTTTATGTGTATGTCTGTGTGTCTGTATGTATGTGTATGTATGTGTTTGTGTGTATGTGTGTGTGTATGTATGTGGGTTTTTTTTATGTCTTTATGTGTATGTCTGCGTGTCTCTATGTATGTGTGTATGTACGTGTGTGCATGTGTTTGTGTGTATGTATGTGTGTGTCTATGTATGTGTGTGTCTATGTATGTGTTTGTGTGTATGTGTGTGTATGTATGTGTGTGTATGTGTTTGTATGTGTTTACGCTCGCATTACACAAATGTGTTGCTGGTCTAAGGCGTTCCTCGCACAGCATTGCCGCTTTATTATTTCAGTCGTTTACTGCCTTATGCACCCTGAAAGTCGTGTGTGTCTGCAGCAAGCGCGTGTATGTGTACCTATGGACGCGCGCGCGTGTGTTGTGTAGGGGGAACGGTAGTGTAGTGCTTAGCGTGCTGTCTGTGTGTCTGTGTGTGTGTGTCTGTCTGTGTGTCTGTGTGTGTGTGTCTGTGTGTGTGTCTGTGTGTGTGCGTGTGTGGTGTGTGGGGAGCGGTAGTGTAGTGGTTAGCGTGCTGTCTGTGTGTCTGTCTGTGTCTGTCTGTGTGTGTGTCTGTGTGTGTCTGTGCGTCTGTGTGTGTGAGGAGCGGTGGGTGTAGTGGTTAACGCTACGCTGCGCTACCAACCCGGCGAACCGAGTTCGATTCCCGCTCATGGCCACCACCGGTCAAGATTATTTGAACCTCCCATAGGTCGACTCAGCCTCAAACGAGTAACTGGTGTGGCGTATTAACATCGCCACTGGGGAGACAAAGGCGGCCGGCCGTGGTGGATACAAGTCCCGGGCGAAGCCGGGTAGTACAGCTAGTAGGCTATATATTGCAATGCAGTATGGACAGCATAGGGCAGTGCAGCAGAATCCATTGTTTAACTGCACTTCTATGCTACCCACCTGCACCAACACTGAACGGCACGAAGAACTGCCAGATAACCCCACGACTCACGTGGCGTTGGGGGGGGGGGCCTTCATTCAGCAGTGTATTTATAATGGCCTATATACTTCCCAGTGTCCCTGAAGCAGAAGGTGGCGATGGACACACGGGACATGAAGGGCTACAAGGACAAGGTGCAGCAGCTGCAGAATGAGCTCATCAGGGTGAGTGGCCATGTGAACAGATAAGTACTCGAGTCGAGGTGGCCGGGTGGCTCCAGGGACAGAGCAGTGAGCCCCGGCCAAGGAGATCCTGGTTTTGAATTCTAGTGTCGGCCACCAGTTGTTAAACTGAAAACTCAACACGTTTGTCAATAACACTGTGGAGGAGGCTTGTGAAGGACGCTACCGGGCAGTTGGAGGCAGTTGCCCTCCAACAACAACTGAGGGCAGAGGAGCAATGCTCGCAACAATGAGCGGAGCGCCGGGCAGCTAAAATACAGCAAATTGGCACAGTAGGGGGCACAGCCGGTGCATCTGCCAGTCATCTCAGTCAGTCAACCCATGGCACCCGGGTCTGTCTCGTGACCTGTCAGCGAGCCTTCGACACTTCATATTATGGCCTCAGAGTGCACCTGGCCTGGCACAAGCGCCATGGTGACGTCACCGCCACTTAGTGGTGAATGGTGGCTGTTGTTGTGGGACCTTAAAAGGATAAAAGAAAAGGTGACGTTTTGCGCAATATACCTTTTTTTAATACGCAGTTTTGTTTGTATCAATGTATTTAAGTGCCATGAAAAAGGGCCATTGTCGGAAAAGCCACCACACCGTGTTATGTGTACTTGTGCAGCACTGCCAATGCAGCAGCATCGCCAAATGATTCGACTAAATTTGGTTCTCGAGTGTAGTGAGTTGACTCCAGTTTCGGATGATTCCGGTGAAAACCCACAAATTTAATTCCGCAGATTCCAGGCCTGATTTTGAAACTTGGTTTGACAGGAAAAAATATATATTTTCGGAGGGCATATAAAAAGTGAGCCCCGAGTGTCGATAAAGAGCACGACTGAAGTGATACCAAAAGTAGTTAAGTGGCATTCATTTCCTGGAGGCTACTCTCTCACACAGTGGTGCACTGCTCACTGGCAGTTTTAAATGTAAAGGTCGTCATCTCATATATGGCTCTGGCCCACAACCACATGGGGCCTACCACTTCAAACGGGCCCCCTGGCCAAGATATATCCATCAATGCAAGCATCTTCGCCACAGTAATCTGAACATTGAACTGAAACTGAACTACGTAAGGCCCACTGAGCTATGTAGCTCTTTTTCAGAAGCGACCTGGCTATCACAAATGATAGCTCAACAAAGGGGCTTATCATGTAAAATGTGTAGAGAGCCCACCAGATGAAGATCGAGAGTCAACACGTTTTTTATTTCATGCAAGCTCATACCGCACGAGTCCACCCGACTCCAATTCCCTCCAAGAAGTGCCCGATCACCCTGCCTCAACCGGTGACGTCACTTCTCTCCCTGTGTAATGCGAGCAAGGATTGAGGGGGGGCGGAGTCTGGGTCACGTGGGGAGAGGGAGGAGTTAGGGTCACGTGGGAGAGAGGATTTAGGGGGAGAACCGGAAGGGGAAGAGGGAGTTGAGACGGAGTGAAACAGGAGGAGGCCACGCTGGGCAGTACGGAGAGAGTGGCGCGGTCGCCACGCGGTGGGAGACGTCGACACCGTCAGCCATCGGTGTCAGACGCAGAGAGCTAGCGGGCTGTGGGAGGCTAGCTGTATACGGGGCAGCAGTGAAGCTAGAGAGCGGAGCAGCGGTGTGGCTGCAAGGCGGAGCAGCAGGGAGACTGCATATCGGGGGCAGCAGGGAGACTGCATATCGGAGCAGCAGGGAGACTGAATATTGGAGCAGCAGAGTGGCTGTGGAGAGATCGTCGGGAGAGACGCGGGCCTGAGCGAGGACGCCGTGATAACGAGATTCTACGAACCCAATAAAGGACAACGGAGATCGACATATGAGAGAGTCCTTTATTACACCTGTGTATGTTGTCTCTCGCCCCGCCTTCTCTCTCCTTTTCCTCGTGACATCATCCTAACACTGTAACCAAGGATCATGTGAGTATTTCTACACCCGCATCTCATAAGAATTAGCACTACAAATGTATAGCAGCAAAATATTCTAAGCGTATATTTCTTAAGTAGCATTTCTGGCCTTCGGCTCGAAAAGTCGCCAAATTTGCACACGAACGACACATTCTCGCAAGCACCCGATCCTCCGTTTTAAGTTTCAAAATGAAAGATCTCTGAATGTTATTATGTTTTGAAGTAGAAAATTGTATTTCTTCATTCAAAGCTTATATAATTTTACATCTGGAAGACTTCATTGAAAATGCCATTTTGTGTGAATTTTCTCTCGTCGTTAAGTAGATGTCCTTGCTGGGGGTTCGATTCGATGCGGACTTTCACCTGTTTGGGATTGCGGGATTGAGATAAGGCGACATAGAGCTGGCCGTGCGAGAAGACCGCCGTTTGCAGATCGATTTCAATGTAATCGACAGTATGTCCCTGCGACTTGTTGATTGTGATATCGTATGCGGGGATAATGGGAAATTGTCGTCGGCGAAAAACAAATGGCAAAGTTGTGTCGGTGGGGGCCAAGTCGATTCTGGGAATGAACACCGAATCGCCTGGGTTACACTCGTAGATGATCCGCGCCTTGATAAAATATCTCGTGAACTCCTCGAAAATCAGTCGCGTGCCGTTGCAAAGTCCTTTCTTTGGGTGGAGATTCCGCAGAAGCATGATGATGACGCCCTTCTTGAGCAGCAAGACGTGTGATGGCATTCCCGATGGCGTCTGGTGTTTGAGAAACTCTACTGGGAAATGTATTGTGTCACTGAGATCTTCACTCACGACAGAATCGGCGCTGTAGTAGATGGCGAGCTCGCCGGGCATCTGTCCAATGATCTTGCGGTTCATTTCGAAAGTCTGTGAATTGGTCGGTGCTACAATGACTCGCTTTGAAAGGTCGCCTATAGACATGTCTGCAATGCTGCCGAAGATGGATTTGATGAGATCCTCCGTTGCCACCATCTGCTCGGGGATTTGAATTGTGCCCTATTCGAAGATTCACAGCACTGGGGGCAAGGTGGGTGCCTGTTCCAACTTTAAGCAGCCATTCATTGTGCTCATTTTGTCCCTCGCTGCGCATGTTTATCGTAAGCATGAGCTGCATGAAGTTCTTCCACAACCGGCTTGCCTTGATACAGCACTCAAAGATGTCTGTTCGCGTTCCTCGCTGCACAATGGGAAGAGTCTGTCGGAAGTCGCTGCCTACAATGAAGACTTTGCTGCCGAATGATTTCTCGTTGCCCATCACCTCGCGCAAGAGCTTGTCGATGCAACGAAGTCCGTTCTTCGGTAGCATACTAATTTCGTCGATGATGATGAGCGAAGCTTTGCGCAGAACTTCGGCTTGTGGTGATGCAGGCCGCATGGAAGAGACTGAAGTGTCGAGCAAGGGAACTGGAAGCTTTAATCCGCTGTGAACAGTACGTCCTCCTTTGAGCATTGTGGCGGCGATGCCTGTCGTTGCAAATGGCAGTGCAATTTGTCCTCGACTCCGGATGTACGCCATGAGAGTTGTGTAGAGGAAGGTCTTGCCCGAGCCTCCGGGACCGTCGAAATAGAAGCATCGGTTCGTAACATTCTCGTCATCGACAGCCATGATTATCTTGTTGAACGCGTCGAGCTGCTTCTTGTTGAGCATCGCGAGATGTGGTGCACCCTCGTTTGCTTCCTCAACTTGGTCATACACATCTTCTTCCGGTGGGTTCCCTTTGGTGTTGGCAATCCAATTTCTTTGCAAGAGAATCCGTGCTGCAGCAGAACGCTGTTGATATCGTGAACTGCTTTGTTGATGGCGGTGTCGTCGGCATCTCTTTGCATGTAGTCGAGAGTCCAATTTGTGGTCCTCCCACAGCTTGAGAGGTGATGGGGGCTGAGAGAAGTAGCAGATGAAAGCAAACATGAAGGCAAATAGGGAGAGAAGAGTGGGCCGCCTCTCCTTGGCCTCTCCTCGCTCTTCTCTCTTTCACAAGCGTTCATCATATGCATCATACAAAGTTAGATAAAGTAGTGAGCTTACCAACGTAATCAAACGTCTGTCCCTGCGAATTGTTGATTGTGATAGCGTATGCGTGGAGAATGGAAAATTGTCGTGATCGCAAAACAAATGGCAAAGTCGTGTCGGTGGGGGCCAAGTCGATTCTGAGAATCGATTCTCGGAATCAACACAGAATCGCCTCGTTCTGCAGATCGATTCCAACGTAATCGAACGTCTGTCCGTGCGCCTCCGTCGTTCAAACCTACGCGCCCCCTGCATGAAAACGACAGGAAGTGCAGCGTTCATTACAGATAAAGCTACGCGTTTATATGTGTAGTGGTTTAACGCGCGCCAAGGGGGGTAATTGTACACACATGCGGGTTGGGAACAGTGGGGTCGAATCAGGACATGCTGCTGTTGCTGGGGGCCAACGAGTGAGTCGGAGACGGCCCGTTAGGCAATTATAGATGCAGGGCAGTGATTGGCCGGTTGTTGTTGTTGAGTACAAGGTGGCGCCTCCAAGTCTGGGAATGGAGACAGGTGGCAGCGGGGGCCAGGGGCGCGGGGCGTTAGGGGGGATGCCAACTAATTAATTGGGAGTTAATGAGGAATAATAGGGAGCGTCAGAGCAAGACGGGGAGTTGTGCTGGGAGCTGGACGGAGTCGGTCGGAGCAGAAGAAGAAGCATAGAGTAGCAGTGGAGAAGAATAAAAAGTGTAGAGTAGCAGTGGAGAAGAAGAAGAAGCATAGATTAGCAGTGGAGAAGAAGAAGAAATGTAGGGTAGCAGTGGAGAAGAAGTGTAAGATAGCAGTGGAGAAGAAGAAGCATAGAGTAGCAGTGGAGAAGAAGAAGTGTAGGGTAGCAGTGGAGTGGAAGAAGTATAGGGTAGCAGTAGAGACGGAGAGAGATAGTCGGAGTGAGACGGAGAAGCCGAACGAGAGCGACAGTCGGAGTGAGACGGAGAAGCCGAACGAGAGCGACAGTCGGAGTGAGACGGAGAAGCTGAGAGAGAGCGATGGGGGGAGTGGGATTGGGAAGCAGAGAAGGGAGTCGGGAGAGACGGAGAGAGAGAGAGGGAGGAACGGAGCGAGCGAGGCCGGCGGAGTGCAGCGAGCGAGCGGAGAACGCGTTAAAGGATGGTGGCGAAATGTGCTGTTGGACAAATAAAGTGATGACAGAAAAGGAAGAAGTTGTCCGTGTAAAGTTCAGCACTACATAGGTATGGATGTCGAGTAAAAAACTATGTGACAATGGGGAGAACATGCAAACTCCAAATATACCGCAGGCGTCAGTGTCGGGATCGAAACCACAACCTCCTGTATACCAGGTGAGGTAGTTAACATCTCGCCACTGCAGCACCCCTGTAAGAAATGTGTGCCTGATATGTTTAAACATTTTACAAAACGTGTCTTGTTTCCATTTGCCACCCTGGAGCCCATTCGCCACCGCGGTGTCGCTATCGGGTCCGAGAGAGGAATATTTTCGACCTGGAAACAACACTGCATTGCTAATTGACGCTATCACTGCAGGGGCAGAAGTGGCTGAGGTGTTTATGCATTCAAATGTGGTTGCCCACAAACGGTATTTGACAGCGCTATTCGGCCCTCGGTAATAAAAATTATCGGCACCTCTGATCGATCGCAAACTCTGACCTCCCGACCTCCGATCGCCGTGTGGTCATTGTCGTGGCGACTGCAGAAGAACGAGCGAGAGCATGAGCTGCTGCAGCTGCGCCGCGTTCACCAACAGCAGCAGGCGGCGCTCCACAAGTGTCAGGAGCGAGCGGCACGGGTCAAGCGCCTGGAGGAGACTATACGACAGCAGGAGAAGGTGCGCACCAACGTACACGGATGCGTACGCATATATATACATGTACATGGGCCAAAAGCACACACTTGTATAGCCTTACCAGACTTTTGGGGCAAGTGCTGTTAGTGAGCACCTATGAAGGCAGTTAGCGTGCTGTGCTACGAACTTGGCAAGCCGGGTTTGATTCCGGTTCAGTCAACATCAGTGACGATTATCTGAAACGGTCCTGGGCCTCCCCTAGGTCGACTCGGCCTCAAACGAGTACCTAGTGTGGTGTGTAAACATCGCCGTTCAGGAGACAAACGCGTTTGGGCATGGTGCTGGCCACCCACCCCCTCGTGGATCGTTCCAACCTTCATAGGTGCTCGCACACAATACACACACACACATAAGCTCATGCAAGCGCGCGCACACAAATTTACGTGCACGCAGACATGCACGCGCATGCATACAAGCACTGACTCAAGTACATACAAACACACGCATGCCTACATATACACACACACGTACATACAAATGCATGCACGTGCACACATGCACGTACAAACACACATAAGACAAAGATCCTTTAGCAAACTGTAGGGGCAAGTGCTGTTGGCAAGCATCTATGTGTAGTGATATAGAATCGGTCACGTAGCAGCATAGCGCTGGCTACTGGCAGGGAAAGGGATCTGCAGTTACAGCAGCCCTGACTGGCAGCAGGCCACGTGATAGACCAGAGAGGGATCTAGGGGAAAGGTTACGGAAGCGGCACATCGAGAACCCACTAGTAGGTTCCAGAAGGGGGCGTGGCCGGGGGCGGAGCCAGACCATGCTGACCGTATAAGAGGGGCCCCGGGAGGGGACCTTGGAGCTGTCGTTTGGAGTGGGATCCCATCGTGCTGCTGGAGTCTTTGTCGTCACCATCTTCACCATCTCGGCGTCGCCAGTCAGGCAGTCTACCAGCTGTCCTGACTGGGAACTGTAGTTACTAAATGTTACTGTCAGGCCGTGTTAATAAACAGAGTGCCTCTTACTGTTAGTGCCTCTGAGTCACTACATATGAAAGCCGGCACAGCACACGAGAGGTGGGTGGCCAGTACCACGCCCGGTCGCCTTTATCTCTTCAGTGGCGATTGTTTACACACAGCACCAGATACTCATTTGAGGCCGAGTCAACCTAGGGAAGGCCCAGGACTGGTTCAGATAATCGTCACTGGTGTTGATCGTGAGCGGGAATCGAACTCTGGTCGTAGCCGGATTCGTGGCTTGGCTTGGCAACCGCTGCGCCACTGCTCCCCATCGACCCACGTACACACACACAGCTGTCTGCTCTCTCTCGTATGCGCACGCACACTCTCCCGAGTGCTCCCTGCCGTACACACACACACACCCGCCTGGCCGCTCACTGGGGTGGTGCGCACCACTGCCCTGAGGTCCACCTCCCTTCCTGCAGGTCATGGAGAAGATGGAACGGCTGCTGGAGAGGCAGGCCAGGCAGAAGGCGACCAAGCGATCAGAGTCGGACACTCCGACCAAAGGTGGGAAGTGTGGTTGGTTGGGACTCTTCCCTAAAGTCGGGTTCTTCAATTGGTGGGGATCTCAGAGTGACCTGCCATTGAGGTATTGTCCTCCAAGAGATGTGGATCACCGGGACATGAAGACATACAAATTAGTGAGATGGAAGAGAGATGTACAAGAGGTGGAGATGAGAGAGCTCTAGGCAGGAGTCAAAGATTAGGGAGATGGAAGTGGCTGTGCCTGCCATCTGTACATGTGATAATGTGACCATGTGATGTCACGTGGCCCATCAGCACATGATAAACTTAATCTGTGGCCCATGAAGTTTATATGTAGTTGAAAAACCCTGCCTTAGAGTGTCCTGTTAAAAAAACATAAATTACATGTCGGGTGTACAGTGAGGGAAAAAAGTATTTGATCCCCTGCTGATTTTGTACGTTTGCCCGCTGACAAAGAAATTATCAGTCTATAATTTTAATGGTAGGTTTATTTGAACAGTGAGAGACAGAATAACAACAACAAAATCCAGAAAAACGCATGTCAAAAATGTTATAAATTGATTGGCATTTTAATGAGGGAAATAAATATTTGACCCCTCTGCAAAACATGACTTAGTACTTGGTGGCAAAACCCTTGTTGGCAATCACAGAGGTCAGACGTTTCTTGTAGTTGGCCACCAGGTTTGCACACATCTCAGGAGGGATTTTGTCCCACTCCTCTTTGCAGATCTTCTCCAAGTCATTAAGGTTTCGAGGCTGACGTTTGGCAACTCGAACCTTCAGCTCCCTCCACAGATTTTCTATGGGATTAAGGTCTGGAGACTGGCTAGGCCACTCCAGGACCTTAATGTGCTTCTTCTTGAGCCACTTCTTTGTTGCCTTGGCCGTGTGTTTTGGGTCATTGTCATGCTGGAATACCCATCCACGACCTATTTTCAATGCCCTGGCTGAAGGAAGGAGGTTCTCACCCAAGATTTGACGGTACATGGCCCCGTCCATCGTCCCTTTGATGCGGTGAAGTTGTCCTGTCCCCTTAGCAGAAAAACACCCCCAAAGCATAATGTTTCCACCTCCATGTTTGACGGTGGGGATGGTGTTTTTGGGGTCATAGGCAGCATTCCTCCTCCTCCAAACACGGCGAGTTGAGTTGATGTCAAAGAGCTCCATTTTGGTCTCATCTGACCACAACACTTTCACCCAGTTGTCCTCTGAATCATTCAGATGTTCATTGGCAAACTTCCGACGGGCATGTATATGTGCTTTATTGAGCAGGGGGACCTTGCGGGCGCTGCAGGATTTCAGTCCTTCACGGCGTAGTGTGTTACCAAATGTTTTCTTGGTAACTATAGTCCCAGCTGCCTTGAGATCATTGACAAGATCCTCCCGTGTAGTTCTGGGCTGATTTCTCACCATTCTCATGATTATTGCAACTCCACGAGGTGAGATCTTGCATGGAATCCCAGGCCGAGAGAGATTGACAGTTCTTGTGTTTCTTCCATTTGCGAATAATCACACCAACGGTTGTCACCTTCTCACCAAGCTGCTTGACGATGGTCTTATAGCCCATTCCAGCCTTGTGTAGATCTACAATCTTGTCCCTGACGTCCTTGGAGAGCTCTTTGGTCTTGGCCATGGTGGAGAGTTTGGAATCTGATTGATTGATTGTTTCTGTGAACAGGTGTCTTTTATACAGGTAACAAGCCGAGATTAGGAGCACTCCCTTTAAGAGTGTGCTCCTAATCTCGGCTCGTTACCTGTGTAATGCGGGCGTGGACGACCTTCCGGAGGTGACGTCATGGGGGGAGGAGTTACGTCACGTGGGGGAGAGGGTTCAGGTCTATAAGGGGGGAAACCGGAAGCAGTAGAGGAGTGATAGGAGACTGGGAAAGTGTAAGGCCACGCAGGGCGGAGTGGGGAAGAGAGAGAGTGGCGAGATCGCCACACACACAGACCCCGAGGATCGGCACCATCAGCCAACGGTGACCGACCCCGGGGCTGGAGGAGCAGCGAGGAGGCTGCAAAGAGGGCAGCGGGTCTGCAAGGGTGGAGTTGAGCAGCGGGGGTCTGCACGACGAGACAGCAGCGGGTCTGCAAGGAGGGAAGTGGGCTACGTGAGCGACAGCAGCCTGGGGGCTGCAGAGCAAAGAGTATATAGGGGAGTGCTGTGAAGTGGGCTACGTGAGCGATAGCAGCCTGGGGCTGCAGAGCGAAGAGTAAGGGGGAGAGCCGTGAGGGAAAAGAGATCGAACCCAAATAAAGGACACAGGACAGAGAGAAGCGTCCGAGTCTTTTATTACACCTGTATAAAAGACACATGGGAGCCAGAAATCTTTTTAATTGAGAGGGGGTCAAATACTTATTTCCTTCATTAAAATGCCAATCAATTTATAACATTTTTGACATGCGTTTTTCTGGATTTTGTTGTTGTTATTCTGTCTCTCACTGTTCAAATAAACCTACCATTAAAATTATAGACTGATCATTTATTTGTCAGTGGGCAAACGTACAAAATCAGCAGGGGATCAAATACTTTTTTCCCTCACTGTATGTGTTCTTATGGTCACTTTGTATTTTACACTCTTTTCTGAGAGTTAATTGTCAATGGGACAATATTTTTAGACTATTGCCAAGCATATCCTCAATCTGCACCATTGTTATGTTTTAAAATACAGGATACTGAATACATTTTGTTAACGTCACAAAAGTGGGATCCCAGTCACGCCGCCTGACCTCTAACCCCGCGTGACCTTTAACTCCGCGTCTACAGATGGAGACCTCCTCAAGGACGTGGAGCTGGTGCTGGGGGTGGAGAACGCACGTCTGAGGATGGAGCTCGAGAGGTTGAGGGCGCAACCTCACCCCCACACCCAGCAAAGGCCCCCACAGGTAGGCCCAGCATTCAAGCTGCATGCCCGTGTCTCACTGTCTCTTCGCCCCTTCAGAGCAATGCCGTGCACAACCTCATTTTGCATTGCCGTGGAGCATCGTGGGTGAATACTGTATTGATTCTCGTGTTTGGATAGGGTCCCTTGTTGAATACGTAGTGCTTTTTAGTGTCTAGTAAATCCTGCAGAATTTGTTTAAAAAGCCTGACTGCTAATGAGACTCAGATCCAAAATTTGATTGCTTAAACAGATGCTGCTTGATAATATTGGTCTGGAAGGCCAACAGGCTGATGGACTGAAACATTTTTGTATGTTGAGAGACAGATTGGAGGTCTCTTTAGAGCAGGGAGTGCTATACAAAGACAGGGCTGCCAACACCACCCCTCCCCGATGGGTCATGCAGTGGTTAGTTCACTCGACTCATTGTTATCCACTTTTCGATGAATGCTTCTCCAAAAAAGCACATTCATATTCCAGGTCAGAGGTTGACTCAACCACCATCCCTTTTGCATGAAGTCGGCAGGAGCTGTCCTTTGGATAGACAGGTGCCTGCCAAAAGAATTTAGAATTTCCACCACGGGCTGCCAGTGGAAATGAGTCACCAATGAATGCTCATTTGAGAAGGGAGACGGCACTGCCTTGAGCAGATGAACCCCCCAAGGTACAGAGTCCTCCGATTCACCCGGCGGCCATGCACGTGTGTGCCCATCCTCTGGCCCCGCCGCCACCGGTGCTCAGGACGAGTTCTCGGTTGCCGAGAAGATGGCGTTGCTCGCCAAGGTCGAGAGGGCAGAGGGCCGCGTCCAACAGCTAGAAGAAGAGGTAAGTCCGACTACCTCGACCGCCTCGTCACTCGCTTCTGTCCTGCCCCTCGACCCCGCTGTGTTTGTTCAGCGCTGCATCAAAACTTGTTTGGCGCATGCTCCAATTCAGTGGCTCCCCAACACCGCACCATTTCCAGCGAACAACCATGCACCGATGATATCTTTCAAAATGATAATTACTCTAAATCCTAGTATTTCAAGTTTCAAGTTTAATTTATTTGGTATAGCCCTGTGAGCCATGCGGCTCTTGAGTTGGCTGCAACCGCAACAAACAAAATATGAACAGAGAACATCGTAAAGCGACGACGCGCAACAGAAACATCCTGGATAAACCAGCAAAAATACACTGTATTACAACGCTGTGTGCAAAAATCCCAGTGTGATGCAAGTCAAACAATAACAACCATAAGACAACTTAGATTCAAGCTATCAGGCCAACTCCGCACTTCCGCAAGAAACATGGCTTAACCATATGTTTTCGAATCACCAAAATAAAACTATGAAATACAATCTTAAATTTGGAGCTTTCGTGACTGCAGGAATTACTCTTTGGTTCTTTTGGTAAAGTCACGTATAAAGTCACGTTTAATTTATTATTTTATCTTTATACGTGACTTTACCGAAAGAACCAAAGAGTATAAAATACAATGTAACAACGGTAATCATAGGAACTTTGATTCAAATTTAACAATAAACGATACACACAACATGTACGACCAAACCTGCAGCCATATCCGGCAGCATGACACTCCCAGTGTATGATGTGTGAGTGAGTCAGTGGTAGTGTGAGTGAGTGTATGATGTGTGAGTCAGTCAGTGGTAGTGTGAGTGAGTGTATGATGAGTGAATCAGTGTATGATGAGTGAATGGGTCAGTGGTTGTGTGAGTTTATGATGTGTGAGTGAGTCAGTGTATGATGTGTGAGTGAGTTTAACACGTAGGCTTTCGTGACCAATATTATTCATAATCAACGTTTTTGGGTTTAGATCGCGTTATTTATAAATGTGTCGTAACCCTCCACCACCCGACAAGGCCAATCAGTAAAAAAGTGTCACGTTGACAAAAGACAAATAGTTCACTGCTTTAGCCCACCGGTGTGTTGAAGCGTGAAACCACAACATTTACTATTTTTTTCACGCTTCAACACACCGGTGGGCTAAAGCAGTGAACTATTTGTCTTTTGTCAACGTGACACTTTTTTACTGATTGGCCGTGTCGGGTGGTGGAGGGTTACGACACATTTATAAATAACGCGATCTAAACCCAAAAACTTGATTATGAATGTGTGAGTGAGTCAGTGCAAGATGAGTGAGTGTATCACGGCATCCTCCCCGCCATCACGGCTACCAATGTCTAATTGCCTGCATCTGTCTCAGCCTGCCTGCAATGTTCCTTCCTGCCCAATTCCCTACGTGCCTGTATGTAACTGGTCTGTACTATCTGTCTGTAACGTGTCTGGCGGTGACAGCCTTGCGTGTTCTCTGCTTGTTGAACGGATTGAACCCAGCGGCCACCCTGATTATTACTGTGATTTTTATAATCATAACAATATTACGCTACGTCTACTTCATGGTGGACATTATGTGCCACCGTCCGGGGTCCAAGATTGTCAAATACAAAAATGTCACCGCAAATTTCTCAAGTGGGATTATACACAGCATCAATCATCGCGCCCTCCAGGCACACTGGTCTCTGTAGTTCTCACCTGGTTAAACTAAATAAACCGTTGTCTGCTCATATACAGGGTGTTTCATAAAGATGGACCCAATTTCAAAGCAGCATATTTCACGATGGCAACATGTTACAAATTACACAAAGTTACAAACGGTTTAATGAGTTATCAAAATTTACTAACCATTTTATTAATGCTCTGTGCCCTCCACCTGCTGTACGGACAACATCGAGACGATAGTTAAATTCGTCCCAAATGCCTCTCAAAGTGTCTTCTTCCACTGAAGTCACCGCTGCCGTGATTCTGTTTTTGAGGTCATCCAGATTAGTCGCTAATGGTGGCACAAAAACACGGTCTTTGACGTATCCCCACAAGAAAAAGTCGCAGGGTGTGATGTCTGGGGATCTTGGGGGCCACGAGTGTAGCGCCAGGTCTTGGGGTCCAGTGCGACCTATCCAACGTTTAGGCAGTGTGTCATTCGGAAAACGTCGAACCTGCAGGTGCCAATGTGGCGGTGCTCCATCTTGCTGAAAAATGAAGTCATCGGAATCTTCATCAACTTGTGGAAAAAGCCATTTCTACAGCATTTCGAGATACGCTTGCCCCATAATTGTGTTTCCCTTGAAAAAGAAAGGGCCATAAACTTTTCTTTGAGAAACAGCACAAAACACCTTCACTTTCGGGGAATTACGCTCATGCTCTACAGTTTTGTGTGAATTCTCTAATCCCCATATGTGCACATTGTAACGGTTAACTTTACCGCTTAGATGAAACGTTGCTTCAGCACTAAAAATCAAACGCGGTAAGAAGCTCTCGTCCTCCATGTTCTGTAACATCGCATAACAAAATTCTACACGCTTTCCTTTGTCGCCTGCACGAAGAGCCTATACCATTTGCAACCAGTATAGCCTCATGATTAAACGTCGCCTTAACACATGCCAGACAGTCGTATGAGGAATCGCAAGTTCTCGGCTGGCACGATGCAAAAAACTCTCTTGAATTCTGCTCACGTTTTCCTCTGAGGTGCGTGGTCGCCCTGTGCTCTTCCCCTTACATAAACAGCCTGTTTCCTCAAATTGTCGGTACCAACGACGAATGCTCTTTGACATTCGCGGATCAATGCCAAAACGCCGTTGAAACGCACGCTGCACCGCAATTACCGATTCAGCCTTGCTGAACTGCAGAACGCAAAAGCCTTGTGTTGCAGGGTCGCCATCTTGCGCTGGGACAGGCATCTAGCGGTAATCATTTGAAACTCTATGTCCCGCCCTTTCAAGTGGTAAGAGTTTCATTCATGGGCGGTTCGTGGTTGCAGAGATATAGCGATTTCAAATCGGGTCCATCTTTTTAAAACACCCAGTATTGTCTGCCTAATTAGGTCTCCGATGCACCTCTGGAAAGAGTGCTTATTATTATAAATACGCGTATCAAGACTTTTTCAGGAGGGTCCTACGTTGTTGCAGTAGGGGGCGATGTTGCTCTATGTAAATTCCAATTGAGTAATGTTTAGGTGGTTTTTCAACATTGGAATGCTTGGAAAATACCAGTGTACATTGTGTGGGTTTTTGGGTCTTTATATTTGCTATGGGCAAAAAAACTTGAGAACCCGATGGAAACCCATGCAGAACAGGGGGAGAACTTTCAAACGCGAGTATCGCGTGAGTCTGCAACCTGCGTTGTCGAGGCTGTGCCTCTCCTGTACGGCACCTTCACCTGGACCGCACCGCCCTGGTTGTGTCCTCCCACACGGCACGTGTAGCTGAAGGTGAAAGCCAAGAAGTGGGGGCGTGAGCGGCAGGACTATGTGATGCGTTTGACGGAGCGCTCGCACGGCTTCACGAGGACGTCCACCGACATCCTGCATGGCTTTCCCGTCGTGAGTGCACCCCCTCCCCCACCCCTGCCTCCGCCCCCCCCCCCCGCCCTACACTTTTCAATGCCGAATCGACGCGAAAACGTGAAATGCAGTATTGGCAGGTCAAAATACTCCCCTCCAGTGCCCGATTAGTGCGGCGAAGATGCTCGCAAGAGACGGATAAGTATCATTTGCGGGCTGTTTAAAGCTGGTAGGCTTTGAATGGCTGCAGGCCATAGGAAATCGAGTTATGGGCCGTATTCTTCCCAACGGCTGTAGGTTTTCCAATCTTATCTTGAATGTAACATTTGCACATGAGCATGTCGTTTTTCATACATTGTAAATAATCGATTCTTAAATGCACAATTCGGGTCCTGTATTGTGAGCGCACGCGTCATCTTCTTGTTGGACACGTGATGGGCATTGACACGGCTCGTGTCTCCCTGCACAGGCGGGATCTTTGCTGCGGCAGGAGATGGGCCGGCGCTACGGACAGCTGGAGCCACTGGTGTGATGCTGGCGAGATGCCGATGAGACGCCTATGTGGTGTTGGTATGACACCAGTGATGTCAGTGTGATGCAGTGATGCCATTGAGACACTGGTGAGGCACTGGTATCACGCCGGTCTGAAGCTGTATAGACGCTGGTGCGACGACTATGTGACGCTGGAGTGATGCTGGCAAGACGCTCGTGTAATGCTGAGTGACGCGGCACCGCGATCGAAAGACCCCGTCGCGACACATCAGTAACGAGGGAGGGCGAATTTCACCACTTTTGCATGACTTTCGTTATTGCTGGTGTTTTTACGCTATTCACGTGCATTGTTAATTACCATTTATAGCCCTCATAAACCCACTGCTGGACGAAGGCCTCCACATTCCGTGTCGGTCATGAGGGCCATTTGCTCATTTCACCAGGCTGGTCAGTCCGGGTTAATGAGGGCCCCAACCGGTTCAGATTTCACACACCACTGATGTTAACCATGGCTGGGACTCAAACTCAGGTGCCTCTTGTTGAATATAAATATTTCATGGCAAGATGGAGGCCACATATGCCAAGTTAAACATTGTATTTATTATCGCATGGGTTTTCTCACAATCTTATGGCTTGTTTGAGTGCCATGCACAGGTATCTACAATCATGGCTGATTTTTTAAACATCATCACTTGATCATGAGTGCTCTGCTGTGACTGAGTTTTGGTTTGTAAAATGGAACAGATGAACTGATTATTTTGCAGTTTATTACAATTTTATTTGATCGATATGAAAATAATCATGGCACATTTGTTTTGGGTTGTTGTGTGCGACTCATTTGGAAAATACAATTTTATAATGCAATGATTTGCGATTGCGTTTTATTTAATAGAAATGTCACGAATATTTTTTTGTTACATTTGACGCTTGACATGATTTTGTAATCGAACTTCAGGAGACTGTACATACAACTGTATTTAAGGATATAAAATCATTCTTTACGATTAGATATTTTCACAAACGCGATAGCCAGTTTGGTCTTTTAGAGTAATAATTGCATTTCCTGTGTTAATTTCCTCAGTTTAATTAGTCTGTGCACTTTTACTCAAGTTGCATTAATACGGAGGTTAATTACACTCATCTGTGAATCACAGGAACTCTAACGCTTTGGTCTGTTATGGACACAACTAAAATAAAACGAGCGGCTCTTGGGCAATAGGCTACACATCCTTGGCTTTGAGACACGACTTTGAAACTGGTAGTTGAGAGCCAAAAAAAAGACTTTAAAGTTAAGGCCATCGGTGCGACTTAATGGCACTGTGATATCACGAGCATAACACGCACTATGACGGCATGCCTTACTAATTTTAAAACTTGTGTCAGACATAATCTATGACATACAAGCCCTGGTGTATGTATCTGTGCAAGAGCTTTTGGATGTTGTGGCTTGTGTCTTCCTTTAACATCTGCGGGTCCACTCTTGAGGAGACGGGGAATCTTGACGTTCTGTTGAACTAATGAGAAGGAACAGGCACGCCAACACGGAAGAGGATCCCGCTATGTGTAGAGGCTCGAACAGCAGCAGCAGAGGCACTCAGCCAATGCTGTTACCTCAATTGCGTCGACTTTTCCCTCCACATTTAGAAACACATGTCTCGATTATTTTGCTGCTGTGAACTTCCACGTGATAAGCCAATTCATTGAGCTATAACTTGTGGCCAGGTCGCTTCTGAAAAATAAGCTAATGGCTCCGTGAGATTAAAATAAGTTTAGTTTTTTGTATATATTTTTAAAGTGATTTGTTTACCTTGCCTATAATTTTCACTACTATCGTGTTTTTGTATTATGTTGTAACATTCTGACCTGCCCCCACTGGACATCTGTGGAAAAGAGCTTTATAGCTCATCGGATTCCTCCAGTATAAAAAAAATATTCTGATGCCGATTAGCACCGATGCTCTCCTGACAAAACAACTTCTCCTTTGTGATACACATTTGGTAGTGATGCCCGTGTTACCCCTGGCAGTGCAGTGGTAACACTCGTGCCACGCAGCCAGAGGTGCCTGCGTTCCATTCCCGAGTCAGGTGCCTTTCCTTTTGTGGCGTTTGCATTCTCTCCCTCCTGTTCTGCATGCGGTTTCCCCAGTTTCTCTGGTTTCCTCCCACAGCTAAAAGTCCGTAGGGCGTGTGAGGAAATGCACCACATATCATAGGTAAAAGACAACTGAAGGGACCTCAGAAGTAGCTCTGCAGTATCATCTTTCAGATATTGTTCTTCAACGTGGGGTGATGTTACAGCAGTGTTCTGTGAGCATTCCAATTTGAGGGTTGTCTCGAAAACACTCGATAACCCACATGCAGTAAGTCCTCGTTTAATGCTGTAGATGCGTTCCCTTGAAGTTCCGTATTCAACAAAAAACGCCTTAAGCGAAAACAAGTTCCCCATGCATAATGTCAATGATACATTGTGGCGAGATACGATGTACGCATACAGTGAGATGGTGGGACAAATAACGAAGGGTGCACGGCCGCATTACTGTATCACACCGCTCAGCTCCACAGATCAAGAGAGAGAAGCTTGTTGTTCACCAATCAGAAACTTCGTTATAACGACACACATTCCCTGTCAGAACGGGCTCATTCCACGTTGTGCAAAAAGTGTTCCTCAATGGTAGAACCGTGCTCTTCTAATGCATTATAGTGTGAACACGCAATAAGCGATGATTTGCGAGTTTCATCGGAACACTTTACAATCCAACTTTGATAATTATTTGTTCTATCATCTTCACACAGATGGCCACACATTAATTGTGCTAACTCACTCCATCGTCCATTTAATCTGCCTCCTCTGGACAAAAGTACACTTTCTGAACAATGACTGTTTTTTTGACAATCTACAACATTCAAGGCACATTTAGAAGACAAACATACAACAACAGGAGGTGATGTGACAGGTAATGTGACGATGTGGCTTGACAATGAGGTGGCATGAGTGACGATGAGGTGCATGGGGAGACCTGCGATTAGGGCTGCTCGTCGTCGGGGTCGCACTTGATCATGACTTTGATGCCCTCCCCTCGCCGCGTTACCTCGAACGCCTCGAGCGCCGAGGAGAGCGGGAAGCGGTGCGTGACAAGCGGCTGCACATCCACGTGCCGCGACGCCAACATGGCGATCGCCGTCGGCCAACTGCACGCCGCACCAGAGACGAAGTCGTTTCAGGGGTCTCACCTGTGCCCATCCTGCTCGATTTTCACCTGAGCTGCGTTTACTGGGTTCGCACCCGTGCTGTGTTTACTGGTCTCGCCTGTCCTGTGGTTATAACTTTCACACCAATTTTTCTTTTTATTTTACCAGCTAAGGCTCATTGAGCTATAAACCTATTTTTCATAAGCGACCTGGCTATCACAAATGATAGCTCAACGAAGTGGCTAATCATGTGGACATTTATTGCAGCCAAATACTTTAAATACTCTAAACACCCTATGATCACAGCACACATGTGCTGTGGTCATAGGTCTCATACCTGTTCTGTAGTTCTTGCACTCATCCATGCAGCTATCAGAATCGTTCTCACACCTGCGCTGGGATGACTTTTCATCGCCACCGCCCCCCCCCCCCCCCCCCCAGCCATAACAAACTCCACTAAATTATCATCATTTTACTGCCACCCCCTGGAACGAAATTCTATCATTTGACACTGTTGGTGTTGCTCCCGCTTGTTAACTAGCGGAGGAGTCAGCAGAGAAATGACGCTGCCAACGAGGACGAGTCAGGGATCAGGGCTCTGGTGAGCAACCGCACACCGGCATCGCCGTCTCCGCCACCGCTGCGGGCTCACGTGTTGCAGTAGCGGAAGACGCCACGGATGTCGACCTCCCGCACGGCGGCGTTGAGGATGGGCAGGGTGATGGACGTGGGGCCCATGCCCACCAGCACCAGGACTCCCCCAGAGCGCGTTGCCTGGCGTGGCACACGCACACACATACATATGTAGAGGTGTAGTGGGTGACATCACGTCACGCTCGCCCTCGGAGAGAGTGGTGTCGTGGAACGTGACGTCAGGCGGGCCGTGGGGGACGGTGACGTCATGCCCCCAGGGGGACGACGTGATAGTTTTCGGTCGCACATTTGACGAGCACTTGCTTCGTCTGTCGGCAGTATGCCCAAAAGTGCGCGCCGCGGGCTTGAGTTCAAACCCCAGAAGTGTCATTTGTTGCAGCCATCGGTGAAGTATTTGGGACACATTGTGAGTGCGTCGGGTGTGGCCACGGATCCGGAAAAGACTGCTTGTGTTCGGATGTGGCCGACTCCCACATCTGTCGCTGAGGTGCGTAGTTTTGTTGGCTTCTCATCGTATTATCACCGGTTCGTCCGCGATTTTGCGACTATTGCAAAGCCACTGCATGCTCTCTCCGCCAAAGGTCAGAAATTTCGCTGTGGGACGGAGGAGGAAGCTGCTTTTGGGGTGCTTCGGAGGGCCTTGGCGGGTGCGCCGCCTTTGGAGTACCCATATTTCTATAGGCCGTTCCTCCTCGACACCGATGCCAGTGATACAGGCATTGGGGCTGTTCTCGCCCAGGTGATCGACGGGGTTGAAAGGGTGGTGGCCTACGGCAGCCGCGTACTGTCTCCCACTGAGTAGCGGTATTGCGTGACCAGGAGGGAGCTTCTGGCTATTGTTTTTTTTGTCCAGCTCTACCGGCCATATTTGTATGGTTGCCGGTTCACCGTCCGGACATGCGGCCCTCCAGTATTCTCTGCGGATTGACCAACCCTCGGGCCAGATGTCCCGCTGGCTCGAGGTGCTCCAGGAGTAGAGTGATACCTCGGTTCACGAACGCTTCTGTTCACGAACAACTCGGTTCACAAACAGAAAATTTCATAAAAATATGCTCCGGTTCACGAACTCCGCTTCGGTTCACGAACAGGAGCCGCGGCCATTTTAATGCTATTTCCAGGCTGTCACATGGTCGTGACTTCCTGTAGGAAGATCGTGGAGAGAAGAAGAGACACAGAAAGAAGTACTGTGAGTACTGTGAAGACACTTTCAGTGACTTTTTGCTTTTTGGTGTGTTTTTTAGCACATACAGTACAGTACTGTACTACTGTACTGTACTGTACAATACTGCACTTACTGTATTGTACAGTTCACCCGTTTGAGTGCTTACTGAAGTCATCTCAAGCAAGGTTAGTGTTCTCTCTTTATACATTACTATACTGTACAGTACTAATGTGTATTGTAATTTGTTTCATATTTTTGTGCTTCAAAAACCAAAAAAAAAGGTCAGAACGGATTAACCGGATTTACATTGAACCCTATGGGAAAATGTGCCTCGGTTCACGACCAATTCGGTTCGCGACCAGAGTCAGTTCACGAATTAAGTTCGTGAACCGAGGTATCACTGTACCCCTTCGATGATATCCACAGGAAGGGGACTCGGCATGGAAATGTGGATGGCCTTTCCAGGCTGCCCCCGGACGGCAGGTGCGCTTGTGTCCTGGGTTCCAGCCACTGTAAGGCCCCGGTGGACACCACGGCCCAGTCGGTCGCATCGGCCGAAGTG